GTTTACTGACTAATTTGAAAGAGTTACGCAGAAGGAGGAAGAGACAGAGAGAGGTCTTCCATCGCCCGTTCACTCCCCACATGGCCACGATGGCTGGGGCTGGGAACAGGTGGAAGGCGTCGCCTGGTGGGGAGGGAGGGGCCGAGAGGGGCGGCTGCACAGACAGAAATGGGCCGGAGGCAGGCCAGGTGGGCAGGGCCGAGGGCTGGCACCTGCAGCCTCCACTCCTGTGCCACAGGCTCCGCCTCGGCTCCCGGCCACTGCCACAGCTCCACCAGCTCCAGTTCTCCCGGCTGTAGGGCAGCTCTGGGTGCCCACGGGCCCCTTGGTGTGGCCAAGTGTTCCCAGCAGCCTTAGACCCTGTTGTGCGGCTGGCAGCTGCCCATGGGGACAGGGCTAGGGAAAGCAGCTGTGTCCTCAGCCCCAGAGCGGCACTAAGCGTGTGTGATGGGCTCTCTGCACGTGCCGGCTGGACGTCTTCACGTGTTTGCTTCACACGCCTGCGGGCTTCTGCCTCCCGGACGCCGGGACGGACCTGAGGTCTCCTGACGGAGGGAGGGCCGCCGAGACAGCTGCCGGTCAGCAGCAGTGCGGCCAGTGTGCCCTTGCTGACGCCGCCGATGGCTGCCCGGCGCTGGATGGGCCAGCGCTACCTTAGAAGGCTGCTTCCACGTCGGCGTGTTCCACCCAGCACCTTCCGGAGACGCCGCGGCCCCCGGGAGTGTCAGGCCAGCCGGTGCGGAGTGCCCACGGCGCCCCGGGAGAGCGGCTGGCTCGGAGCCCCTGGAGCCACGCTGACAGGTGCCCGTGAGGACCAAGGCCAGGCACGCTTGTCCCCTCCCCGGGGGGCTCACCCTGCTGCTCACCCCTGCGCTGGAAGGAGAGCGGTGGTTCTGACTTCACCTTGTGTTAGCTCGGCGGAACTGAAGGAGTCAGCGGCCGTCCGCTGTCCCGGCTCAGGCGAGCAGGTGGCGTCTGTAGTGTGCCGGCCCCGCCCCCCGCTGCAGCCCCCATCCCAGGCGAAGCCGTCAGGAGCCCTTTGTGCTGCACAGCCGTGGCGGGAAGGCCGGAGCCCCTGACGCCCGCCAGGGACCTTTCTCCGTCAGCACCACTCCTTGCAGCCCCCCAAGTCCGTACTTGTGGGCAACGTCGTGGCAGCGGACGGAGGACCTGCAGGGCCGGGGCCAGGACCGCAGTGGAGCCCCACAGCCGGCCCGAGCAGTTTCCGTTCCCAGGTCGTGGCTCAGCGCCGGGTGCTCCCGTGACGGGGCGGCTGCAGCATGGGGTTGGGGCTGAGTTTCTGTCCCCCGCCCCGACCCCCCCCCCCCACTGTGTTAGGAAAACTCGGCAGACGCGGGCTGTGTGTGCGGCCGTCTCACCGCAGCCGGTATTGGAGCCAGTCCATGACGAGGGGCGCAGGCTGCGTCCTTCCCTGGAGCTGCTGAGCCTTGGGCTGGCTTGGGGTCACGAGTCGTCGTGTTTTGGTGAAACTGCAGCAGTGGATGTCCTGGGTGACCAGGGCTTGATGCGCGCGCCGGCTCTGACAGCGAGGGCCCCCGACCCAAATCAGACGGAGACGGAGCCGTGCCCAGGCGGGAGGCGGACAGGTCTTTGCTGAATCCCAGAACACTGAGCCCCAGGCCCCGCCCGGCCAGTGTTTGTGGCCAAAGCTCGTGGCACAGGCGGGGCATGCGGCGCAAGCTCAGGTGCATACCTGTGCACTTTGGGGGGCGGGTGTGCCGTAGGCCCCCTCGTTTACTGGGCCGTTTTCCGGGACTTGGGAGCACACACAGCTGCCCGGAAGCGCCAGGGGCTCACTGCAGGCGGCAGGAGAGCTCCCCCGGAATGTGGGAGTGGGGGGCGGGGCCGGGGCTGCCCTCAGAGGGGAGCTTTGTCCTGCCCTGAGGGGCCGCCTCTGCGCGTGTGTGCCCAGAGGGCTGTCTCTGGGCAGGAGAGCGAGGGCCAGGCAGGGGCCAGTGGGTCTCGGGAGAAGCTCGGTGCCGTGCGTGTGTCTAGTCCGGACACGTGTCACTGCACTGGCTCTGGGAGCTCGCGGGGCCGACCTCCTGGGGGAGGCGGGCTGCTTTGCTGGGACAAGCCCGGGACCCCGAGACCCCGCCTGCCCCTCGGTGCTGGCTCAGGCTGCAGGGCCGACGAAGGCCTTCCTGATGGCTGTCCCTGTCGAGGAGGTGCAGTGGCAGGAGGTGGTGTCCCGGGCAGCAGGGCCTGACCCCGAGACGTGCGGTCAGCCTGGCTTCTCCGTGGCACTGCCCCCAGCCGTGTCAGCTGGGTGCCTGTGCCCTGGTGGTACTGGCGGTGTGGGCCCTGGGCAGTGCCCTGGTCGGATGGCCACCGTCGGGGGTGGGGCACCTGCACCGCACGCTGCGGGGCTGGAGGCTTCGCCAGTGGCCCGAGTGGCCCGGGGCGCGCTGCAGGTCACTCGGCTCCTGTGGGTCTGGCCTGTCTGTGCCATTTTTTTCATCATCAATTTTGGGCTGTAAAAGGCTCAAAGAAGGCTTTGTTCCTTTGGCACTTACTCCGGGGGAAGAAAATCCGTGGAAAGTCTGACACGTGAGCTGCGGAGAGGAACCGGGCCGGGAGGGGCGCAGGCTGAGAGCTCTCGGGTTCTACGTGTCTCACGTCAGCCTGGCGTTGAGTGACACGGTAATTGCTCTGTTTTTTCTTCTTTCCTGGTTTGACTCTCCAGAGAGCCCCGCTCTCTGCTTCTGAGGGTCTGGGGCTGAGCTGGAGGCGGGGAGGGGCTCGCTGGCGGGCGCCTGCCGTCCACGCGGGCCTGGGTCTGCACCGCTCCCTGGTGCCTCTGGGGTCTCCACCAGCCCGGCGTCCAGCGACAGGACCCTCCCCTTTCACAGTCAGCACACTTGGAGGCGCCGAGTGCAGCCCGACTCCAACTCCCGGCGCTGCTCGCGGCTCCCCCGGGATGGGGATGGTGGCAGCCGGCTGAGGGCCGGGGTCTGAGCTTGGGCCCACCACGTGCAGGGAGACCGGGGGCTGTGGGTCATGGCCCCTCCAGAGCAAGGTGCTAGAGTCCCCTGGAGTCGTGTTTGTAGACCCCCCCCCCACAGGGCTGCACAGTAGGTGGTGTCGTGTGCAGCCCCTGCCCTGCCTGGGCCGTCCCCTGACCCCGGCCCCCTGGGACCCTCCATCCTGGCTCCTGTGCTGCCAGGCGCTGGGTCAGTGCCCCGTGCTGCAGGGAGGGGCTGAGCCAGCTCTTGGTACAGCTGCAGCTTCTCCCAGCTCCCACACGCCTCCCATCCCCTAGTCCTGCAGCCCCGGCGTCCTGCACACATCTGGCACTGGACACGCCCCTTCTCCCACAAGACCGCCCCGCCCAGCTCATCTGCCTGGGCAGCTGTAGAGAACCTGGTGGCACGTGCTCCACCCTGGGCCCCCTCAGAGCCCCAGCCCAGGTGGTGCGGTCACTAGGTCGGTGCCCTGATGAGTGGGACCCAGAGGGACCCCTCGACCCTGCAGTGCAGACACAGCCCGCCTGGGAGGAAAGCGCCCGCCGTTTGCAGCCCCGTCTGTGGCTCTCGGCAGTGCCAGCAGAAGCCCTAGACCACCCCCACCGCCTCTGCTGTCTGCGCCTCCGATGTGCACCCCCAGGGATGGGGTCCTATTCCTAGGGGCCACTTAGCGGTGTCTGCTGGGGGGGAGTGGCTGGGGGAGTGGGGGGTGGTAGGTGGGTGAATGGGTAAGTGGGTGAATGAGTGGGAGGTAGTGGGTGGGTGAGCAGGTGTGTAGATGGTGTGGTAAGCAGGGGTGGGGGTGGGTGAGCACGTGTGTGGGCGAGTGGGTGGTTGGGGGAGTGGCTGGGGGAGTGGGGGGTGGTAGGTGGGTGAATGGGTAAGTGGGTGAATGAGTGGGAGGTAGTGGGTGGGTGAGCAGGTGTGTAGATGGTGTGGTAAGCAGGGGTGGGGGTGGGTGAGCACGTGTGTGGGCGAGTGGGTGGTTGGGGGAGTGGCTAGGGGAGTGGGGGGTGGTAGGTGGGTGAATGGGTAAGTGGGTGAATGAGTGGGAGGTAGTAGGTGGGTGAGCAGGGGCTGGGGGGAGTGGGGGGGTAAGTGAGTAGGTGGCTGGGGGAGTGGTGTGGATGATGTGGGTGAGTGAGTGGGTGGTTGGGGGAGTGTGGGTGGGGGGTGGGGGAACAGGTATGTAGATTGTGCGGATGAGCAGGGGCTGGTTGAGCGAGTGGCTGGCTGGGTGGGTGGGGGTGGGTGAGCAGGGGTGTGGGTGGTTGGGAGGGGGGGGGTGAGTTGGGGGTGGGTGGGGGTCCAAGGGCACCTGCCTGGGGTGTGGCTGCAGGACCCACCCTCACCAGGGAGGCCTCCCCTTCTGTTCTGTTCTCTCTGCTCGCCCGTCAGAGGCGAGTCGGGCCGCATCTCTGCCTCAGGCAGTGTGTGGTCCTGGCGGGGGTGGTGAGGCTGTCGGTGCCCGGGAGGAAGTGGGCGTGGAGGAGAGCCCCCTCGCTGGCCTCTGTGTGCGTGGCCGAGGCCGGGCCGAGGACCGACTGCTCAGCGAGCCCTGCCTCCAGCCGCGCTGCCTTGGGCTTCCGTGCGGCCCAACCCCAGGGGCTCCCGGCTGCTCTCAAAGCTCCTGCCGTCCCCCCCACATCCTCCCGCGAGGCGAGTCCCTGCCCGAGCCGTGCTCGGTTCACTGGGAGAGGCTGCCGGCCTGCGTGGGTGTCGTGTGGGAGCTGCCGAGCTGTGGCCGGGGCAGCCCGAGGAGGCGGCCGTGTCGGTGAGGGTGGGCGCATCGCTGTGACGGAGAGGGGCTGCGCCTGCCGCGTGTGCCGTTACCGTGCCGGTCAGACGCTCTGTTAGAGTTCTGCCGAGTAAACCCACTCGCCCACAGGTGCCGGGGGGACACGCTCCCCTCCTGGGCCGAGCGCCTCCCGAGGGAGCCGTGGTCCCCGCGAGCTTGTTCGTGTGCTGCCTGCCGGCCCGGGGCCCACGCCAGCCTCACCTCTTCCTTGGCAGGGCCTGATCAAGATCCGTGGGGACCGGTGCTGGCGAGACCTCAGCTGCATGGACTTCCACTACGAGGTAAGCAGCCTGTGCAGCCGGAGCCCGGGTGCCGCCCTCGGCCCTGCACACCCGAGCGGGCTCACCTGGCAGCCTCTGTCCAGGTAGGATTCTGTGCCCCCGGCCAGGTGAGCCCGTGCCTGCTGCAGGTTCTCCCTTGGCTTATCGGGGATGCCCCCTTCCTTTCCTGGTCACGAGGGGTGTGTGGCCCACCTGGTGCCAGGTCCGGCCGGTTCATTCTGGTTTTCCCCGGCACTGCCCAGAGCTCTGAGCCAGGCTGGGCCATTCCTCCTGGAGGCTGTAGCCGCCCCTGTGCCCCTGAGGCAGGTGCAGGGCTGGGGCCACGCCCGGGCCGCAGTCCCCCACCTGGACGTGAGGCAGGAGCCACCCTGCTGGCCCCCTCCCCGTCACTGCTCTCACCGCGGCCCGTGCCTGCACCCAGGTACACGGGCGATGCTGCCCCGTGGGGCCATGCGGGTGTCTGACGGGCCAGGTCCAGTGTTCAGTGTCTGTGCTTCCTGCTGGGCCTGCTCGGGGCACCGTGCTTCCGGCTCGATGGGGGGCGAGCGGTGCCCACCCTGGCCGTGCTGCTGGCTGGCCTTGCTGACCGTCGGCCGCTCCTCTGCTCTCCGGTCCCGAGTTCCTGGTGTCGCAGGCGCCACCTCTGAGCGTGCGGGAGGGCACTGAAGTCCTCGCCGGCTATGCCTGCGTCACAGGAACGCCCCCCGGCCTGGGCAGCTGTGGCGGGGGAGCAGCCCCCGGGGACAGGCGGTGGGCACCGGATGTGGCCGGGTGCCAGCAGCTGTTCAGTTGGGCCACGGCCGTAGTTTGCAGCCCAAACCCGCGATGAGGCCAAGAGGCTCGGCACGGTCCGCACAGTCTGGGACGTCCCTGTCACCTCCAGGTGTCCGCACACCTGGCACGGGGCAGCGCCCAAGTTACAGATTTGGGCAGGAGTGGGAGAGAGCCCCAGAGGTGCGGGCGTCTACTCCCCGGGGCGTCCGGTGGCCTGGGCTGTGGGTCTGCCTGAGGGTCTCGGCGTCCTCTCCTGGGGCTGCCTGAGACACGTGGGGCCAGAGGCGCTCCCGGGAGGACAGCCCTGTCCCCAGAAGCCGCGCCAGGTGCCAGCGTGCGAGGGGCCGGGGGTCCACGCCCGTCCGCCGGGAGTCAGCCCCCGTGGGGGTGCTGCTGGGAGGTGCCGGGTGCTTCCAGCACCCAGGAGCCCACACGCTGCCCCGTGCAGTCGAGGTCTCTGCGTGGCGCCACTGCCCCCAGCCCCAGCTCGGGCTCGAGAGACAGGCCTGTGCCTGTGCCGGTGGACGCTCAGCCCGGGTCTGCCTCGGGTGATGCGGGGCGGGGCCAGCAGCTGGGAGACCGGGCATGGGGAGGGTCCTCCTGGTGGGCAGTGGGCTCCGATTCCTGGGACTCGCTGTGGGTGTTGGGCGTCTCTGGGCAGAACTCCCTTATTGGGTTCATTGCCGGCATTCCCAGCGCAGGTTCCCAAGCTGAGCTGGGTCAGGGTTCACAGCAGGGAGAGCTGCAGTCACCTTTGACCAGGCCCAGGGACCTGATGGCCCATGTGCCACGCGGGATCCAGAGCCCGGGCGGAGCGCCAAGGCGCCACAGCCAGGCCTGGGCTGCCTGGTAGGCCCTCGGAGCCGCAGACGCCTCCGCCGGGTGGTGCTGTGGACCGGGTTGGCGCTCGGTACCCAGGCTTGAGGTAGGGAAGGAGCCGGGACCCCTCCTCTTCATCTTGCTGGGCCGAAGGGCTCGGGAGGAAACTCCTGCAGGGCAGTTGTCCGCGTAGCCACGGCACCGCGTGCTCCCCACCCGGCAGCTGCCCCGCGTCCCGGCTCAGCGGCCGTCCCCAGTGCAGCAGCCAGCTGGCAGCAGATCTGGGCTGTCGTAAGAGCGAGCAGTCCTCGTGACGGGGGCCCCCGGTAGGTGACAGGTGGCCAGCACATCAGGCGGTGGCGGGCAGTTAAGGGGGCTCGCGGCCGAGGGGGAGCCCCGCCTCTCCTGTTCTTGCCCTGACTCCGCCTTGACCTGGCGGTCGGACAGAGGCCCTCCTCCCGGCCTGGTGGCCAAGCGCTGGTGGGTTCTGTACCCAGGGCCCTGCAGGGGGCGCCTGCGTCAGCCCCACCCCGACCTGTGGCCTCATGGTCTGAGGTCCAAGGCTCGTCTACTATGTCTCCATCTTTCGGAGTCAGATGAGGAGTCCAGGAGTGAGGGCTGTCTGTCCGGTTCTCAGGGGGTCCACGACCCGGGTGCCAGGATCAGTGCCTGTGTGTACGGGAATACAGCAGGTGCGAGGGCCTTCCTGGCCCTGACACACAGGCTGGCCGCTTCCTGGACAGGCTGCACCCGGGTCTGCCCCCCACCGCCCACGCCTGCCCCCACCGCCCACGCCCGCCCCCACTGCCCACGCCCACCCCCCACCGCCCACGCCTGCTCCCCACCGCCCATGCCTGCTCCTGCTTCCCACCGCCCACGCCCGCCCCCCACCGCCCACGCCTGCTCTGCAGACCCACAGATGGCCCCTGCACTTGACAGCCCGAGTCCCAATCCGGGTTCCTGTGCCCTCCTGGGCTGGAGGATCTGTGGGGACAGCTCACAGAACTTGAACCCATTGCTCTCTGGAGCCTGTGTGGTGGAGCCACAGGGACAGGTGTCAGATGTGGCTGTGTCCCCCAGGCACCCCGGGCCACCTCATTAGCATAAACCAGGTGTGAACCCCAGGGCCCATTGGTGAGCACTCTGCAGCGCCCTCAGCCCCCGCCCCGGCTCAGCCTCATGGGTCACGAGGGGTGCCATGTGCTCACCCCACCCTTGCAGGGCCCACTGCTCACTGATGGCCTGGAATTGGCGTGTCGCACCCTCATCACATCGGAAGCTGTCCGTCAGGCCATCCTCGGGTGGGGGCATCCCAGGGCCAGGTCATCCCACGAGGGGCCCTCTGCCCCCTGCACTGGCCACGTGGTCGCTGTCTGATATGGGGGACCACCCTTCCTTGGAAGACCGGGTGTGACCATGTGGCACCCTCGGGTGTCGGTCAACCACTCACCGAGGGTCCTGCAAGCCTCGGGGCCACGACGTCTGGGGCCCTGGCCTCACACGGTAGCAGCCCCGCCCAGCCCAGGGGTGCCCGTGTCACAGCCGTGGAGTCGTGAGTCCCGCAGCCTGACCTGTGCACTGTGGGCTCAGCCGCAGACTGGCCCCGGGACGCCTCAGCTCCCTCAGAGGGGAGAGAGCCAAGTGCCGGGGCGGAGTGGGAAGAGCCGGCAGTCGGAGCAGGGGCGGAGTGGGAAGAGCCGGCAGTCGGAGCAGGGGTGGAGTGGGAAGAGCCGGCAGTCAGAGCAGGGACAGAGCCCTGGCTGGAGCCTGCAGTCGCACGCTTACGTGCCTGTGTCGCACACACACACACCCCCCCCCCGCCGTGCGCGTTCATTGGGTCTGAGCATTTTAAGTTGGGACTGCGCGGCTTATGCAGCCTGTCTGTCAGGCGTTGGCTTCTTACCCTCGCTCTGCACCCCTGGGCCATGCTGGGAGGACAGCCGCTCACAGAGCCGCCCCCCCCCCCGTCCTCGTTCAGGGTGTGCAACGTAAGCTGATGCAAGTTCATGGCGGTGTTGTGTTCCAGTCGGGCACGACAAGCCGACCTTTGATCTGGGAAATAAACCAGCTTCCCCTCCTGGCCTCTAATCCATCAAAGGGGCTCTGAGTGGCTGGGTTTCCCTTTGGGTTTGAAGCCCACAATGGGAGCCGCCAACGCGCCGACGACGGTGCAGGAGCCGGCAGTCAGTGTGGCACAGGTGCACGTGCCTGGGCATGTGTGAGCATGTGTGCGCACGCCGGTGTGCGTGGGGTCGGGGGCGCCCTCCTGCTAGGCGCTTTGGTCCCATCTCTGCAGCCAGGATGTAGCCTGCAGGTGCAGGCAGCCTGCTTAGCACTTCTAGAACCTTCTGCGGGGCAAGGCGCACCTGTCTGAGCATGTCGGGGGGAGAGATGGCCCTGCTCGCAGCAGTGGAGTCACGGGTGTGTGTGCACTGGCCTGGCGTGGGTGGTCACGGTCCTGGCGATGCCGTGGTGGGGTGCCACGACCTTCACCCTAGCTCTTCGGGTTCCGTGCTCCCAGTCATGTCAGAATCTGCATGCGTGGTGGTTCCTGGCCGATGTCCCTGTTGACATGTGACGCAGAGGCCTGTGGCCACCCACGCAGCCCGCTGTTGGCCACGTCTGCCCGTCCGTCCCGCTGCAGGCCGGCTCTTGCTTCCGGATCTGTGCAGTGAGGCTGTGGCAGGCTCTGCTGCTTCTGACCCAGCAGCCTGTGCCTGCTGTCTGCACCCCGCGGGCTGCTGCGCCGTCTCCCTGTGTGCGGGGCGGGGCTCCTGCGAGCCCAGGGAGGGGGCTGCACACAGTGACTGGAGCTGCAGCGAGTGAAGCTCACGGGCACCGCGAGAACTGGGCGTGCGCTGCAGCCTGGTGAGCTGACGCCGCCCAGCCCTGCCCACCCGCGCTGCTCGGGGCTCAGGGCCCGTGTCCTGCCTCGGAGCATGGGCGCCTCTGTCCAGGGCTGCACGTGTGAAGTGGCTGAGGCGGGGGTGCAGGAGGCAGGGCTGAGGCTTCAGGCTGTGAATAGGGTCACAGGCAGAGACCTCAAATTCCCGCGCTCTGAGGGCCCAGGCGCAAGCTGGAGATGGCTGCTCGGGGCAAGCACCAGCGGTGTGGCTGTGGGATGGCCCTGCGCCCCCGGCCGGCCCGTCTCTCACGTTCAGGGGCTCTTTCCCCATGACGTCTGCGCTCCCATCAGGGAAGCCCCGGAATCTGAACCTGTGAGACCACAGACCCTGGAGACCTGGGGTCCCGGTCCTGTGCTGGGAGATGCAGACTGCAGACCTGTGCAACCATGACAGGGTGACAGGGGCACAGCCCTGTGCAGTGAGTGACAGTGTGGTGGACCAGACCTGTGCAGTGAGTGACAGTGTGGTGGGCACAGCCCTGTGCAGTGAGTGACCGTGTGGTGGGCACAGACCTGTGCAGTGAGTGACCGTGTGGTGGGCACAGCCCTGTGCAGTGAGTGACAGTGTGGTGGACCAGACCTGTGCAGTGAGTGACAGTGTGGTGGGCACAGACCTGTGCAGTGAGTGACAGTGTGGTGGGCACAGACCTGTGCAGTGAGTGACAGTGTGGTGGACCAGCCCTGTGCAGTGAGTGACAGTGTGGTGGGCACAGCCCTGTGCAGTGAGTGACAGTGTGGTGGACCAGCCCTGTGCAGTGAGTGACAGTGTGGTGGGCACAGCCCTGTGCAGTGAGTGACAGTGTGGTGGGCACAGACCTGTGCAGTGAGTGACCGTGTGCTGGGCACAGACCTGTGCAGTGGGTGACCGTGTGGTGGGCACAGACCTGTGCAGTGAGTGACAGTGTGTGGGCACAGCCCTGTGCAGTGGCAGTGGACGGCCAGGCAGAGCCGAGGCTGCTTAGACCCAGGTCCTCCCTCGACTCTCGGCTCCTGGGCGGCCACGTGACACGGCTCTGTGTGGCCCCCGGAGCTGGTGGGACAGATCCCAGGCCTCCCGCGCCGTGACCGCACACAGCAGTTCTCGTGTCTGCACAGGCGTGAGGGTCCTTGCTTTCTGTCCTCTGAGTCTGCGTCAGCGTTCTGAGCACAAGGCCCAAACCTGTCTGTCAGCCCTGCGTCCAGCAGCCCATGCCGTCACCTGTCCCCTGGACACGGCACAGGGCCCGGGGGACACAGGTGGGCCGGCTTCCTGCCGACGGCCACCCCCGCGCTGCCCAGCTACGTGAGCATCGAGGGAGCTGGGGCAGCCTCTGGCACGGCGGCCGGTCAGCGCAGACGGGGCGGCTCATTTCCGGTGGCGAGGAGCCGAGGGAGGGGACGCCTGCTCTCCACTGGGAGGCCCGTGGGTGAGGCGGCTGTCTCGGGCGCAGTCCCTGCCCTGGGCTCTCAGAATCGCCGCTGTGGCGGGGGCACGCTTGTGGGCTTCGTTTCGGAGCTGTCTGGTTTCCTGGAGAGACGTGAGGCGCGTCACGGCCAGATTGCCACGAGGGGCACCGCCGCGTGCTCTTGGCTGCCGCGGTGCCACGCCTGCCCCGGCTGTGGCTTCACCTTGGGCTCTCCAGGTGGCCTCGGGACTCCTCCCCAGCTTCGAGAGCTGGCTGCTGGTCGCCGGCCAGGCTGGGCCCGTGACCTGCAGGCGGGCACTCCGTCTGCCCCCCTGGGCTCCGGGTTCAGGCTGGGGGCTAGCTTCCTCGTGCCACGCTGCCGTCTCAGCCGGCGAGGTGGGAGAGAGGACTCCACTCTATCCCTGGCGCAGGCTGGGCGTCGTCACCAGCTGGGTCGGCGTGAGGTCTGTCTGGCTCGGGAGCCCCGGTAGACGGAGGAAGGGCTGGCACTTCACGGCCCTAGGCGTGGGGGCGTCGCCCTGGCAGGCCTCTCCCACACAGGTCCTCCATGCTCAGGAACAAAATCACTCAGCCCTGGGGGTGGAGTAGATGCTGAGTCCTAGGGAAGGAGGCGGCTCGGCTGGCGCTGAGTGGGCAGGTGCGCGCTGCTGGAGCCGGGGAGGGGCTGTTGACTGCCTGCTGCTGGAGCCAGGGTGGGGTGAGCCCTGTGGGGAGCAATTCGGACTAGACTAAGTTACTGGAATTAAGACTTATTCTATGCATCTGCTCTCCCACAATATGGCGCTGGGAGAGAAGAAAACAGCTTCTACCCAGCTGCCTCCAGTTCAGTCAATAAACTGTAGGACTTGCTCCTGATTGGTGGAGAGCGGCGTGCTCGGCGTGTGGGCAGCCGAGTTAGGATTGGCAGAGGAGGACTATAAAGGAGGAGAGAGACGGCATGCACCAGGAACATCTAAGGGGAACATCTAAGGGAACACCTGTGCAGCCCCCGAGAGAACCGGCCGGCGGTGTGCCGCTCCCCTGCGGAAGTGGGGAATGTGGCCAGGGGGAACTGCCCTTCCACGGAGGTGGAAGGGATAGTAGCCAACCCGGGAAGAACCAGCAGCAAACCCGGGGAGGGCCGAGCAGACGAAAGAACAGCGCAGGGTCCTGTGTTGCTCCTCCACGAAGAGGGGGAGCGACATAATGGTGCCGTGACTCGGATAGGAAACCTAGGACGGATAGGAAACTTAGGAGGGAAGAAACAGGAAGAACTGGGAAAATACCAGAGAGAGAGACTAGCAAACAGCCTAGGGAAAAGCCGGACGAAAAGGGTGCCGGAAGAAGCTATTGAAAGCCTAGGCATAGACTCGGATACGGACTACGGGGGGAAGCTGGGAGGAATCTCTAAGGTCGAAAGCGAAAGTGAAAGCTAGAACAAACAGACTTGGATGCGGACTGTGGGGAGAGGCCAGGAGAAATGAGAGAGGAGTATTGTTGGAGGAAAGCTTGGGGAAACATACCGGGTAGAGAAAAATGTTAGGGAAATTGAAGCCGCGGGGGGCAGGCCGAGGCGGAAACGAAAGCCACTTTGGGATTCTCAAGTTAGCCCGGGAATAGGGGGCGAAAAGTTGAAACCAGAAGCAGAAACGTAAGCCAGATTGGGATCCGTCTGATTAGCCCGGGGAGCAAAGGACAGGAAGCCAAATCGTGGGGCGGAGACGTGAGCTGGGTTGAATTCGCCAGGCTAGCCCGGGGAACTTGGATTGAATGCTAGTGGTGGAGACGTGAGCTGACGCTGTGTGACTTGCGGAGGCTGCCGTGCGCAGAGAGAGCGTGCGGGGCACAAGTAGATAGGGAACGCTGGGCTAAGTGCGAGACCGTGGAGTGTGCGCGCAAAGCCGAGCCGCGCAGATGAGAGAGGCGCAGGCTGAAGCGGCTCAGAGCCGGCGAGGCGCCGAGAAGCAGCCTCGGGGCGGAGCCCGCCGGCAGGGCGAGGCGCCGGGAAGCCGCGCGGAGCCGTGAAGCTGCCGGCAGGGCGGCGCCGGGAAGCCGCGGGGATAAGAGAAACAGAAGTTTAGAAGTAAAATGGGAGAAATAGGAATGCCCGGAGATAGAGAAATAGAGAAATAGAAAGGCCTCCCCACAACACTGCAATGTGAGAGCTTGGATTCGGTCTGCCTGATTAAGTGAGGCGATGAGCACCTGCGGGCGGCTAGCAGCTTATGCGCCGCAGGTCACCAAAGACAGGCACGAATTAACATCAGTAAGGCCTCCCCACAATACAGCAATTAGGAGGCTTGGATTCGGTTTGCCTGATTGTTAGGGCTTGTAAGCCCCTGTAGGCAGAGCAGAGCATGCGCTGCAGGGCACCGAACACAGGCACGCATCAGCGCCTAAAAACCTCCTCACAACATGGCGAAGAGAGGACCCGGATTCGGTTTGCCTGATTGATAGGACTTGTAAGAACCTGTGGCAACTCTAGCAAGTAGAGCAGAGTGTGTGCCGCGGGACACCGAAGACAGGCGCGTATCAACGCCAAAAATAAAAAGAAAGGGGGATCTGTGGGGAGCAATCCGGACTGGACTGAGTTACTGGAATTGAGACTTATTCTATGCATCTGCTCTCCCACAATATGGCGCTGGGAGAGAAGAAAACAGCTTCTACCCAGCTGCCTCCAGTTCAGTCAATAAACTGTAGGACTTGCTCCTGATTGGTGGAGAGCGGCGTGCTCGGCGTGTGGGCAGCCGAGTTAGGATTGGCAGAGGAGGACTATAAAGGAGGAGAGAGACGGCATGCACCAGGAACATCTAAGGGGAACATCTAAGGGAACACCTAAGGGAACACCTGTGCAGCCCCCGAGAGAACCGGCCAGTGGTGTGCCGCTCCCCTGCGGAAGTGGGGAATGTGGCCAGGGGGAACTGCCCTTCCACGGAGGTGGAAGGGATAGTAGCCAACCCGGGAAGAACCAGCAGCAAACCCGGGGAGGGCCGAGCAGACGAAAGAACAGCGCAGGGTCCTGTGTCGTTCCTCCACGAAGAGGGGGAGCGACAAGCCCACTCTGCTGGAGCCAGGGTGGGGTGAGCCCACTCTGCTGGAGCTGGGGGGGTGAGCCCACTCTGCTGGAGTGGGGGAGGGGTGAGCCCACTCTGTTGGAGCGCGGTGGGGGGGGTGAGCCCACTCTGTTGGAGCCGGGGTGGGGGGTGAGCCCACTCTGCTGGAGCTGGGGGAGGGTGAGCCCACTCTGCTGGAGCTGGGGGGGGTGAGCCCACTCTGTTGGAGTGGGGGGGGTGAGCCCACTCTGCTGGAGCTGGGGGGGGTGAGCCCACTCTGCTGGAGCTGGAGGGGTGAGCCCACTCTGCTGGAGTGGGGGAGGGGTGAGCCCACTCTGCTGGAGCTGGGGGGGGTGAGCCCACTCTGTTGGAGCTGGGGTGGGGGGTTGAGCCCACTCTGCTGGAGCGGGGGGGTGGGGGGTGAGCCCACTCTGCTGGAGCGGGGGGGGGGCTGGGGACTCTCCCTGCAGTAGTTAAGGAGCCTGGTTTCTCTTGCGGGCGCAGCCCTGGACCCGTGCATTTCTCTTGCTTTGGCCCTGGCCCTAGAAATGGCAGGGCTGCTGGCTGGGAGGCACAGGCCGGCTCCCCGCCTTCCCCTGCGATGCGCGGAGGACAGGTGTCGCTGCACGGGCGCGGTTTGGGTCACACAAGAGCAGGTCCCAGCAGCACGGGCCGTGCTGCCTGCTGCTCCTCTGTGGCATACGCCCGTCTGTGCAGGGTCAGCTGGCGCTGGGAGGCGGGGCCCACATGCTGGGCGGAGCACTCGACAGCCTGGGACCCCGGGACACCACAGGGCGCAGTGGGTGGCTGCGTGTGGCTGTGTGAGGCCGTGCTGTCCACGCCCACTCGTGCCCCTGCGCGGGCAGCTCCGGCCTCAGGGGTCCCCACTCACAGCTGCCTGGCCGTGACCCTCGGTGTCCCCAGGACGCCGGGGCACCTCCCCGCTGGTGTTTCTGGGTGACACGGAGTAGATAAGGGGGTTCCACTGAGGGCCCTCCCCCAGGGCCAGACCAGAATAGGAGCGGCACTCAGGCCGGGAGCGGCCCAGGCAGAGCCGCAGGTGCAGGCGTCCTCACCGTGGGCGCCTCGCCCGCCTGCACAGCAGCCGTGTTCACTGCCACCGCCCCCGGGAAGCCCCGCGTGGCCTCAGACCTGGCTTTCTGGGGACGCGTGCTCGGCCTGGTCAGTCCTCTGGGCACAGGCTCCAACACCAAGCCTCACGCTAGTTCCGGCGGGGTGGCCAGTGGGACCCCTGCTGGGGGCCGGGGCCTGGCTTCCGTGCCGTCCCGGCTCCCCGCGGTCAGCAGGCCGAGGCCTTGGAGCTCACGTGGGTGGAGGCGTGGTGCCTCCTGCCCGAGGTCGCTCTGGGTTACTGCCTTGACCGTGCGCGTTTTGGAAGAATGAGAACTCGCTTTTGCTTCAGAAACCGCCTGCCCCCCTCGGTCTGGCGGGTGGGCCCGGGCAGGGCGGGGCTCTGGGGCTGCCGGCACCACGCCCCCAGGTGGCCTCTGTCCCCACAGACCCAGCCGGTGCCCAACCCCCTGGCCTACTACCTGCACCGCTCGCCCTGGTGGTTCCACCGCTTTGAGACGCTGGGCAACCACTTCGTGGAGCTCCTGGTGCCCTTCTTCGTCTTCCTGGGCCGCCGCCTGTGCGTCCTGCACGGGGCCCTGCAGGTCCTGTTCCAGGTGAGCGCCCGCAGCCCCCCCCCCCCCGGGCTGGAGTGGACTTGGGGGGCTGGGGTGGGTGTGCGTGGTGGCCAGCGTGTCGCCCTCTGCAGCCCCGGGACAGGCAGGCGTAACCACACGTCCGTGTAGGAGTTCCGGGCCCTTGTGTTGCGGGGAGCCCTCCTCCCTTAGTCTGTGGAGAAGCTGCCGGCTTTCTCTGCTGGCTCCTGTCCCTAGCAGGCACCTAGGTCTCTTAAGATTTATTGATTTGAGAGTTACAGAGAGGGGATTGGGGGTGGAGGGGGGGGGACAGAGGTCTTCCATCTGCTGGTTCACTCCCCAGATGGCTGCAACGGCCGGAGCTGCGCCGATCCTAAGCCAGGAGCCTCCTTCTGGTCTCCCACATGGGCGCAGGGGTCCAGGGACTTGGGCCGTCTTCTACTGCTTTCCCAGGCCACAGCAGAAGTGGAAGTGGAGCAGCCGGGACTCGAACCGGTGCCCATATGGGATGCCGGCACTGCAGGCGGCGGCTTACCCACTACGCCACAGTGCTGGCCCCTGGGTGCCGGTTCTAACCATTGGTCTGTACAGCCCTTGACGCCACTGAGCTGGGCAGGGGCCTGCTGCCTGTGTGCTCTGTTCTCGTTTGCTAGCTGGTGCTGTTTTAGGGTGGGGGTGGGGCTGGATGGACGCCGACCTTTAGCCAGGGCTGTGGCCCCTGGAGGGTTCTCGGTGCTTTGGCTCTGCGTGGCCGTCAGGGCGGCGAGGCCGAGGACTGCCCCCCAAGGGACTCGAGATTCCGTGGCCCTAGAGCGGGCTCGTTTGTAAGTTGACAGTCCCGTGTGGCCACGACGCATGTCATCAGTACCCACAGGGCCCTCGGCAGAGAAAGGTGCCTGCCCCGGGCGCCACAGGTGCGGGGACGCGACTCCTTGCAGGCTGAGTGCCCCACTGTGGCCACTTCCGGGTCAGAGGCCAGGAGATTGAGCTGGACTCTCCCCCAGCCCTGCCACGGCCTCCTGCCGGTCTGGTCTCTGTGTGACTTGGTCCCAGCGCCCCGCGAGTGCCCTGGGAGCAGGTGCGAGAGGCCTGTCTTCTTCCGGGGGGCTGCTGCAGCCCTGGTCCCCCGCCTCACTTGCACAGGCCTGGCCAGCAGCAGCCGCAGGGGCCCTGGGCCAGTGGTCAGCACCAATGGGGCGAGGACGCTGGGAGGGGAGCTGCAGACAGGCGCCCACCCCCCCCTGTGCTCTGGGGCCCCAGCTCCCCACCCGGGCCGATGGTTGTGCCGCGGTGGGGGGGGGGGGGCTTTCCAGAAGTGCGCGGCGGGCTCTGACTGGGGAGGGGCGCTGCTCCCAGGTCGTCCTCATCCTGAGCGGGAACCTGAGCTTCCTGAACTGGCTGACCATCGTGCCCAGCCTCGCCTGCTTCGACGACGCCACCCTGGGACCCCTGTTTCCCTCGGGGCCGGGGAGCCTGAAGTGCCGAGTCCTCCAGCTGCAGAGGAAGGAGCCCCCCGAGGCCCAGCAGGGGCCCACGTACGGTAGGAGCCCCGACGCCCCTGGGAGGGGCGGGCACAGTGGGGAGCAGGGGCATCACTGCCGTCCCCCCACCCTGTGGTCCCTCGGTGAGCGACAGCCAGGGCACCCACAGCTTGGCGTAGAGGACCCGGGAGAGGCCCTTCCCAGACTTGGCAGGGAGTCAACGGCTTCGCCACCTGTGTTCCCATGGGCCTGGACGGGCTGGGGCAGGAGGAGGAGGAGGAGGAGGGGTCCCGGAGCGGGCTGGGGCAGGAGGAGGAGGAGGAGGAGGGTCCTGGAGCGGGCTGGGGCAGGAGGAGGAGGAGGAGGAGGAGGAGGAGGAGGAGGAGGGTCCCGGAGCGGGCTGGGGCAGCAGGAGGAGGAGGAGGAGGAGGAGGAGGAAGAGGGTCCCAGAGTGGGCTGGGGCAGGAGGAGGAGGAGGAGGAGGAGGAGGAGGAGGAGGGTCCTGGAGCGGGCTGGGGCAGGAGGAGGAGGAGGAGGAGGGGTCCCGGAGCGGGCTGGGGCAGGAGGAGGAGGAGGAGGAGGGTCCTGGAGCGGGCTGGGGCAGGAGGAGGAGGAGGAGGAGGAGGAGGAGGAGGAGGGTCCCAGAGCGGGCTGGGGCAGCAGGAGGAGGAGGAGGAGGAGGAGGAGGAAGAGGGTCCCAGAGTGGGCTGGGGCAAGAGGAACAGGAGGAGGGGGAGGGGGAGGGGTCCTGGAGCGGGCTGGGGCAGCAGGAGGAGGGGGAGGAGGAGGAGGAGGAGGAGGAGGGTCCCGGAGCGGGCTGGGGCAGCAGGAGGAGGAGGAGGAGGAGGAGGAGGAGGAGGGGTCCTGGAGCGGGCTGGGGCAGGAGGAGGAGGAGGAGGAGGAGGAGGAGGAGGAGGGGTCCTGGAGTGGGCTGGGGCAGCAGGAGGAGGAGGAGGAGCAGGAGGGTCCCGGAGCGGGCTGGGGCAGGAGGAGGAGGAGGAGGAGGAGGAGGGGTCCTGGAGCGGGCTGGGGCAGCAGGAGGAGGAGGAGGGGTCCCGGAGCGGGCTGGGGCAGCAGGTCTGAGAGCCCCTCCGCCGTGGCTGCAGGCCGTGTGGTGCGGCGGGCGGTCAACGTGTCGCTGGGCGTCCTCGTGGCCTGGCTCAGCGTCCCCGTGCTGCTCAACCTGCTCAGCTCCAGGCAGGTCATGAACGCGTCCTTCAACCCCCTGAGGATCGTCAACACCTACGGCGCCTTCGGCAGGTAGGGGCCGGGCCTGGCCGAGCTCGGCGCGAGGTTAGGGGGCCTGGCCCGGTGCGGCTGGGGTCTGCGCTCCCTTCACCCCAGGCCCCATGGCGCAGGGCCAGGACCCAGGAAGAGCCCCCCGCGGAGCACAGGTGCACGCTGGCCACGCATTGCTGGAGGCCGGAGGGTGGAGTTGGGGCGGGTTGGTTGAATGTGCATAGGGGGTGGAGTCTGTGCTGTGTTAATTGAATATTCATGAGGTGGGCTGGGGCAGGGCTGAGTACTGCCCATTTCCTTGCCCTTTTTTGGAACGCTTGGCGGTGTCAGGTGCATGATGGGAGTGGGAGTGTCAGCCTTCATGTGGGCAGCTGGCTGGTTCTGGTGCTAAGTGGTGGTTTCGTGGGCGCTGTGGTTTTCTGCAGGGAAGGGGGTGTGAGGGAGGTAGGGGGGCTGCAGCCTTCGTCTTCACCCCCGCCAGGGGCTTGCGTCCCGTCCTCTGCACGGGAGCTGGGTCAGGTGCCAGGCGGCGCCCCCTGCTGACTGGGGTTGAGGTTCAGGGGGAGCAGCGCGGGGGTTTCTCACCTCCGACCTCTCGCCGCCGAAGATGAACTTGAGGTGCGCAGTGGACTCAGGACAGGGCCAGGGCCATCCTCGTGAGCCTGCGGACGGGGGCAGAGGTCAGGCCAGGGGCCCTTCCGTTCAGGGTGCGCAGGTCCCGGGGATCCGCACCCCGGGAGCCCAGAGCTGATGCGGGCTCCTCTCAGCATCACCAAGGAGCGGACAGAGGTGGTCCTGCAGGGCACGGCCCACCCCAACGCCAGCGCCCCTGACGCCTTGTGGGAGGACTACGAGTTCAAGTGCAAGCCCGGAGACCCCCGGCGGCGGCCGTGCCTCATCTCCCCCTACCACTACCGCCTCGACTGGCTCATGTGGTTTGCAGCATTCCAGGTAGGGGTGTGGGGCAGACGCCACCTGGGAGAGCACTCGGGAGGAGGGGCCGTCTCCCTGCCCAGAGGGCCCAGCCTGGCCCCAGGAGGGCCCTCCCTGCAGGGCTGGGAACCCCCAGCACTGGGCACTGCCACCCTTGTCCTCCCACCAACCGCGGGGAGCCTCGGCCGTCCGAGCCCAGGACGGGAGCAGGCCGAGAGCCGAGGCGGGGCTGCTGGGCCTGGCCCTGGCTCCCAGGACACGCGGCCGGCGAGCTCCGCTGGCAGCGTCTGAAGTCAGAGCTGGGCCGGGGCTCCCGGCCCAGGGTGCGGGGGAGGGGCGGCCGCGTCCACCCAGCCTTCCTCCCCAGACCTACGAGCACAACGAGTGGGTCCTGCACCTGGCGGGCAAGCTGCTGGCCGGCGACGCCGAGGCGCTGTCCCTGCTCGCGCACAGCCCCTTCACGGGCAGGGAGCCCCCCAGGTAAGACCCTCCTGGGGGAGGCGCGGCGGGCACAGCGGCAGACGCCGGGCCTGGGTCCTCTTGCCGGCCCCTACCCGCCTTGCAGCCAGGGCTCCCGGAGGGGCCGCAGGGCAGTGGGCACCGGCCCGGCTGTCCCCTGGCCAGGAGGCTCTGGGAACAGCCCGCGGCGCCCGCATCTCCACGGTGGCCGGGGCAGGGCTGCACCAGACAGGCGTGGGGCTGACCACAGCCTGCGTCTGGCTGCTGGGGACGTCCCCTCGGGGCAGGGGACCCGCAGAACACCAGCACAGGCGGCTGGGACTCCCCAGGAGACACCACGGCCAGGCCGAGCAGGAGCCCGGAGGGGGGCGGGGCGGCCGGCCCCGTCCACCCGCCAGTGGGGTCCGTGGAGACCCCACCAGCAGTGCCAGCGTGCGGGGTGGCCGTCAGCCGTGCTGGGCGCACGGAAGTGATGGCCGGGGTCTCGGCTGACAGATGAGCAAGCCCGGCCCTGCGTCTGAGTCGGGCTGGAGAGCCCCCGGCGCGTGGAAGGCGGAGCTGCCGGGACCCGAGCGCGCGGGAGGGCAGCCACGGGCAGTCACGGCGCCGGTGCCCCAGGCGAGGGCAAGTGGCCAGCCCCACAGACCACGTGGATGAAGAGCGCGGCTGCCCGAACACGCAAGCTCTCCTCACACGGCCCCAGAGCCGACTGAAGCCGCGACCCAACTCCTGGGCACGTGGGGCCGGCCGTGAGAGCCCCGCGCCCCAGCCCTGCCCAGCGAGCGAGTGAGCGGCGGGCGGGGCTCCCTGTCTGCCTCTCAGTCTCTTAGAAACGGCCTCTCCCAAAGGAAGCAAAGCCCCTCCCTCTCCCCCCCCCCCAGTGAGCGCGGGGGGGGGCCCGGCCGGCGGGAGGCGCACGTGCACCTGGGGGCCCCCGCGCCCCGAGACCAGGCGGGGGGGGTGGGCTCCAGGAGGTGACGCTGGAGACGGCAGAGGAGGCACCCACGTGGCCTTGAGCATGTGGGTGGGGTGGCGCTCACGACCCCCGCCTCCCAGTCAGAGCACCGGCTCTGTGCCTCCCGCCCGCCCAGCCCGCGTGCGGAGCCTGCACCCCATGAAGGCCCGGTGGGGGGCTGCAGGCTCCTGGCTGTGGCCTGGCCCAGCCCCGGCTGTTGTGGGCGTTTTGGGGTGAACCTGCAGGTAGGAGATCTCCCTCCCTCCCCCTCAAGTGGGGACAGCTCGGCTCACAGGCGTCCACCCAGGCGTGGGGGCCTCGGTCATCCCCGGAGCCCCCACAGGACCCCCGAGAGCTTCGCCGTGCTCAGGCGGAATGGGCGGGCGTGGCGCGAAGCCCGCGGTTCTCCTGTTCCAAAGCCGCATAGACGCCAGAACCGCCCCAGGGCTGGGCCGGGTCCAGAGTGACGGCAGCAGGCGTGTGCGAGGGCCAAGGCCACCGCCTGGGACAGCGCCCACACAGCCTCAGCCGTGTGCAGGAACCCACCCCCAACAGGCCCAGCGCCGCCCCGCAGGGACAGGAAGGGGCTCGCAGCCTAGCCCCCGCCCCACTCAGCATCCGCAGCACACGGCAGGGGTGCGGAGGGAACCAGGGAACCTCCCAAGGAGCCCACACGCAGGCCCCGGAGCATGCGGGCGGCACCCACGTTCACGGCCGCCCTGCTTCCCCACCCCTGCAACCTCCCGGGTGCCCAAGGCCCCTTCCAAGCACCCTGACCCTGACCCTGACCCTGACCCAGGCTGGCGCTGCCCGGTCCCCGGCCTCCCCAAGTGCAGCTCAGGGCCCCTGCAGAGGGGCGGCTTCGGCTCCATGCCGGCCCTGTGCCCGGGGAAGGACCTGCGAGCCACGGAGCAACCGGCAGTGGACCGAGCCCCACACGGACGCTCAGCTGCCCGGCCATGCCGCCCCACCCCGGAGCCATTTCTCTCCCACCCCAAGGGGCCCACCCAGGTCTCTGCCCCTTGGTGTCCCTGGGGAGGGGCGCGTGCAGAGGACCCAGTGCCCGTGGGGCAGCAGGTTCCACCACCCACAGCACAGAGCACCCTCAGTGTGGCCCAGGCCCGCAGTGGACGACGGCCACTGTCCGGGCGGCTCCCGTGGCTGCAGGGGCCCAGAGCAGCCCTGCCCCGCCCGCGAGCAAGGCCCAGACCCCCCTGGGCTGGGCTGGGTACCCAGGTTGACGCTGCCCTGCCCCCCGGCAGGTGGATCCGTGGCGAGCACTACAGGTACAAGTTCAGCCGCCCCGGAGGCCGGCACGCCGCGGAGGGCGCCTGGTGGGTGCGCAGGAGGATTGGCCCCTACTTCCCGGCCCTGCGCCTGGAAGACCTGCGGGGCTACTTCCAGGCGCGCGGGTGGCCGCTCCCAGAGCCCAGCCGCCCCCACCAGTGACGGACAGACGGAGACCCCGCCCACCTCAGCAGAACCGCGCCTGCCACCCGGCCCCCTCACAGTGGACAGTGGGCGGTGCGTGGACACTGCCAGCCCCAGCCTCAGGCGTGGGCCCAGCCCAGAGGGCTCTCGGGCTCTGAAAGGTTCTGTCCACCCCTGGGCATGGGCCCAGCTCCCCAGGATGCAAGGGTGGAGCCAGGCTTCCCCATCTTCCCCCCACGGCCAACCCGGTCCCTCATGTGTGAGCACACGCCGTCCACACGCATGCGCCGTCCACGTCATACACCATACGCCGTCCACACGCAAGCACTGTCCACGTCCTACACCATACGCCGCCCACACGCAAGCACTGTCCACGTCATACACCATACGCCGCCCACATGCATGCGCCGTCCACGTCCTACACCATACGCCGTCCACACGCAAGCACCGTCCACTAAGACATGCCGTCTGTACACACACACACACACGCACCACCCATGCTGCACACACGTCCCGGCTGCCCTGGCCCTATGCGTCCTTGGCCGCGTCCCCCGGCCCCGAGCCCGGGGAGAGCGGCCGTCTCGGGGCTCACGTCCGTGGTGCTCCCTGAGACGTGTGGGGCGGCGGCACAGTGCGGGTCTGTGCTGAGCCCCACAGGTGCAGCCAGAGCCGGGGAACAGAGGCCCTGTGTCTGCAGGGACAGACGGGTCTCAGAGCCGGGGCCAGCCAGCCTGCCACCACCTGGGCGTCCTGCCAACGCCGGCCCTGTGGACAGGGCACGATCTGAGGGACCCCACCCGGCTCCTCCTGGAGGGGCCGCAGGACACCCGGGAGCCCCCCGCCCCGGGCTCTGCAGGTGTGGCCCCAAGGTGAGCTGAGCCCCACCCAGTCAGCACGGGTCACGCCGTCGGGGAGAGCCACATGGCCGTGTGGGATGACACAGGATCCCCTGGGTGGGGACAGGAGGCGGGGGCCCCTGGTCACTCACCCCCTGGATGCACAGCTGACCTCAGCGTCAAGCAGCAGCAGTGGGGCCGGCGCCTACAAAGCCAGCATCCCATATGGGCGCCGGTTCGAGTCCCGGCTGCTCCACTTCCCATCCAGCTCTCTGCTGTGGCCTGGGAAACAGCAGAGGTTGACCCAAGTCCTTGGGCCCTGCACCCACACGGGAGACGGGAGGAAGCTCCCGGCTCCAGATCGGCACAGCCCCACCTGTCGTGGCCATCTGGGGGGTGAACGGGCGGATAGATCTCTCGCTGCCTCTGTAACTCTGCCTTTCAAATAAATCTTTTAAAAACACAGCAGTGGCGGCAGCGCCTTGGCTCGGGCCTCTGCCCTCAGACCAGCGTGGGACTCCAGGCCCTGCTGCGGCCCCCAGCCGGGAGTCAGCCCCTCCCTCTTCCATTCAAACCCCACCCAGAGCCCGAGCCTCTCCCGGCACAAACCTGAGGTCCCTGTGCTGCCCGCCCGCCTCTGCCCTTCCAGGCCACGCACTCAGCTCCCCCAGCCCCCACATGGAGGTGCAGCCCACCTGCCCACTTGTCAGTCCCAGAGAGAAACGGGGGGGGGGGGTGACTGGCAGCCGCGGGGCCTTGGGGGTCAGAGGGGCCGCGCAGCTGAGCCCAGACTACGCGAGGCCATGTCCTGCCTGCCTTCCCCAGCTGCCCCACAGAGCTGGCCACACATGGACACAAGTGGGGCTTCCCGGCTTTCCACGATGGCAGACCCCGAGATCCCGGGACACCCCACCTGCACTGGATGACAGCCCGGGAGACCCCAGGACCCTCCACACACCCCAGACGTGATGGGAGACCTCACCTGCCCATCAAAGGAGCTCTGTTAACACCCAAGCAGCCAGAAGCGGGCGGACGCCGCTGTGAGTCATGGCCCCCGAGTTGCTGACTTTAAGAGAATACAAGACCAGCGTCAGGCCGCGGGGTGGGGGCCATGCTGTGTGCCCTGGGCCGGGTCCTGCAGGGTGGGCAGGGCTTACCCCTGTGCCCTGGGGCCGCCCAGCCTGGCCAGTGCTGTCCACTCCTGGCAGGCAGGCGCCAGCCTCCTCCCCAGCCACTGCGCACCCTGGGCAGGGGTCTGCATGGTTTCAGGGGTCCCTGGCCCTTCGGCCTCCCCCCACCTCGTCCAGCGACCAGATGAGGGAGCCCCCCCATCTAGCATCCAGGCTGAGGCCCCCCCCCGTCCAGCATCCAGGCTGAGGGCGCCCCCCCCCCCCCGTCCAGCGTCCAGGCTGAGGGTGTCCCCACCCTGTCTAGCGTCCAGGCAGCCACACCACACTGGGACAGTGTCCACTGCTCCTGTCAGCAAAACGGCGCGCCCCGTCCAAGGCTACGGCACAGGGAGGAAAACACCAGGGCCGACGGGGCGGGGCACGGGGACCCCGCCCACACCTGTCACAGAGTGCGTTGTCCGTGAGTGCGTTGGCGGCCGCACTGGACGGGTGTGGGGCTCCCTCGCTCCCTCTGCCTCTCCAGTAGCTGAGGACAAGCAAGCAGCCGTCCAGGGAGGTTTCAGCTGACACCCATGGCACGTGACACGGAGGGGCCCCGCCCACCTCCTGCACCCACGACATCAAAGGGGCAGCCGCTCTGGGCAAAGCCTGGCAGGTTCTAGTAGTGTCCAGCCACACCCCCACGTCCTCGGAATCCGAGCCACCCCGGTGGCCACAGGGGCTCCACTGTGCAGGGGGGCAGCACACGTCCCATCCCACAGACTCCACGCGTCCACCGGCTTTCTGCCAGCGGGGGCAGTGGGTGACGGCCAAGCACGTGGGCTCCTGTGCCCACTGGGAGACCAGGGCACAGGTGCCAGCGCCCAGCCACGGCCTGGCCCCCAGTGGGTGGGCGTTTGGGGAGTGAGCAGCGGGTGCAGGAGCGATCTGTCTCCCTCTCCCTCTCTGTCCCTCTGCCTGCCTCTCTCTCTCTCTCCCTCCCTCCCTGTCTCTGTGTCTCAGTCTCTGTCCCTCCCTCCTTCCCTGTCTCCCTCTCCCTCCCTCTCCATGTCTCTCTCTCTGTCTCTCTCTTTGTCTGTCCCCGTCTCCCTCTCCCTGTCTCTCCCTCCCTCTCGCTCTCTGTCTCTCTCTGTCTCCCTGTCTCTGTCTCTCCCTCCCTCTCGCTCTCTGTCTCTCCCTGTCTCTCCCTCCCTCTCACTCTCTCTGTCTCCCTGTCTCTGTCTCTCCTGTCTATCTCTCTGCCTCTGTCCCTGTCTCTCCCTCTGCCTCTCTCCCCTGCCCGTCACACGAGAAGCGCATCTTCACAAGGTCGGCGGAGGCGGGGCCGCTCCATCACCCGGCTCCCAGGCTGAGGCTGGCGGCTGCAGCCCCGTCACCGCCCAGCGGCCGGTGTGGTCACTCAGAGCCGCGAGACTTCGCACGCAGCCGCCCTCATGCCGGCCCCCCGCTCCGACTCCCCCGCGCCTCCGGCAGCTCACCACGGCTGACGCAGGAGGGCGACAGCTCTGTCCTGGCACAGAGTGGCCACTGCCCCTGGTGCCCAGAGCCTGCCGGGTGAGGTCCGGTGCCCTCTGCGGCCTGGGGCTGGGCCATCCTCTCCTGTGCCCTCGGGCAGGGTCGTCTGGAGGCCTGCACCTGGGCTGGCCCTGGCCAGGCTGCAGCTGCGCCTCATTTGCATCTCAAAGCCCCATCCAGGCCCCAGCTGTCAGGGCCACGTGGACCGAGGGGGTGGGCGCCGGCCCTGAGCCCAGTGGCCTCGCGCCCACGACTCCCGCACTCACCCATTCTTCCAGACACAGAACCACGGGAGCCCCTGGCGGGTCCCCTCCAGCTCCCATCCAGGGCACACAGGTCCTCTGAGGCCCCACTGAGAGGCCCCACCAGCAAGTCTGCCCCTCACTGGGGGCGGCCTCCTCCTGGGACCCCCGAGCCCAGGACACGACCCCTGTCCCCCGTCCCCCGAGCCCAGGACGCGACCCCTGTCCCCCATCCCCCGAGCCCAGGACGCGACCCCTGTCCCCTGTCCCCCGTCCCCAGAGCCCAGGACACGGCCCCTGTCCCCCATCCCTGGAATCTGGGGCGACATGGTCACAGCCCAGAGCTGCCTCGGGCCGCCGGAGCTGCTGAGACCCTGGAGGGGCAGCCCCACCCCCACTCCTCGACTCCAGCATGAGCTGAGGGCGCACACGGCCAGCAGCACCGTGCCGCCCGGCCTCAGGGCTCTCGGCCACAGCTGAGGGTCAGGCTGGGCCATCGAAGGCCCTCGGCAAAGGGGGAGCCCTGCTGCACCCACTTATCCCCAGCAGGCGCTGCAGCGGTGGCGCAGGGTCTGCTCTGGCCCAGGCGCCAGCCGCGATGGCCCTGGGTGCGAGGGGAACTGGTCAGCGGGGCAGCTCTGCCAGGGCCACACGGGCAGCTCCGGGTGTCCACCCGGGAGCCACTGGCTCCTGCTGAGCGCAGGCCCCTGCCCCAGCTCAGAGCAGTCTCCAGGGCCGGCGTGGTTCGGGGAAGCCCCTGGAGCCCTGCACCCACGGGGGGACCTGGGTGGGGCTCTTGGCTCCGGCCTGGCCCAGCCCTGGCTGGTGCGGCCCTCTGGGGAGTGGACCAGCAGATGGAAGATCCCCCCACCCATGCTTTCAAACAAATTAAGTTTCTACAATGGGGTGGGGGGGCGGCTCAGGGCCTGTCGTCGAAGGCGGGGACAGCCGAGGGCGCACGACCACCGGGGTGGAGGTGCCGAGCCCTGTCCAGTCCTGGGGACTCTGCGTGAGGACACTGGCCAGCCGCAGGTGCCCCAGCCCCGTCCACAGCTGCAGCGGGGCCCCACCAGCATCCCCAACTCCGCGCCCCAGGGGGCTCCAGGCCGGCAGGGCAGGGCCAGGGCTCCGTGGTCCCTGAGCTCTGCCAGAGGGCAGGAGGCCGACCGGGGGCGCCGGGGTCTCTGTCGGGGAGGGGCTGCTGGCCAGGAGACCAAGGAAGCCTGGCATGTTGGGGGCACGGCCAGACGGGGGTGCGGTGTGTGTGGGCGTGGCCTGCACAGGGGACAGTTGGCCGGCACCTGTTGGCCCAGGGACCACAGCTGTCTTGGCGACGCCAGCCTGGGACCCCAATTCAGGCTGCTGATCCTGGCCACTCGGGAAAACAAAGCCGCTACGCCAAGGCCGGCAGGAGCCGGGATGGCAGGCGGCTTGGGCGGCGTCCCCACTAGCCCTGGGCTGGCTCCAGGAGGCCCTGGGTGCCCGGGTGCGCCCACCTCCACGTGGCCCCAGGTAGGGCCAGGCCCTCAGCACTGCAGCGGGATCCCCCCCGCCCCCCCCGCAGTTCCCAAACACCCAGGCCTGGGCCCTTAGCACCGCCCGGCTGGGAAGGGGCCCTCACCTCGGTGACATCATCCTGGCCCTGACCCGGGAGCTGACCGGGCCAGGACAGCGCCGATTTCTCACGGCGGCCATGGCCATGCAGCCCCCGGCACCCCCACACACCCCCGAACACCTCACACCTGTGAAACGCAAGGGCAGGGCCCGGGGACCCCCACCCACAGCCCCTGTCCCGTGAGGGCAGGGCCCGGGGACCCCTACCCACAGTTCCCAGCAACCGCCACGCTTGGGTCCGGTGGGACGGCGCTAGGCGGGCAGCCAGACCGCTGCTCCCCCACTCCCAGCCTGGAGGCCACGCGCCCGCGCACGCGCACACCTGCCCAGTGCCCCCCCCCCCCCCGCGCGCGCATCCCGAGGGCAGGCGCTCAGCTCCCCCGGGGCCTCGGGGCGCCCAGCGGGCCCGGGCTGGAGCAGGTCCTCAGCTGGGCGCACCTGCTCCCCGGCTGCCCCTGCAGGTGGGGCCACAGAACCCCCACACACAGCCCAGGGACGCGGCCGGGGGCCAGGCTTCGGGGACCCCTGGGGGCGTGGCCACGAGAACCTGGCGGTGGCGGTGCCAGTGGCAACAAGGGGCTGGCCCTGCGCTCTGGCCCCGCCCTGGGGTCCCTGCCCCTTACCCACACCTAGCTGAGGAGGGGTCACAGCTTCCCTGGGGCTGCCACCCCCTCCCCAGCCCCACGGCACCCCCCCCCCAGGCAGGTGCCTTCGTCCACAGCCTCCTGGTCTGAGGACCCTGCTGTCCCCCGCTGCCCACTGCAGACCCCAACTCAAGTCTGGGCCATCGTCCAAGGCACGAAGGGGTGATAGGCGGTGGGCGTGGCGGGGGCGGTGCCTCGTGGGCGGTGGGTGGGGCACTCCTCTCCCCACTGCCCCTGCGGCGCTGTCACAGGGCCCAGCTGTCTGCAGGCAGAGCCAGGGGCACGGGGACATCTGAGGAGGGGGATTTGCTGGGGGGGGGGTCAGGGCTGAGGGACACGGGAGGGGGTCAGCGGAGGCCCACTCACAGGGCCAGGGCCGCCCGGAAGTGGGCCGAAGACGGTGCCGGCCTGGTCCTCCCCACCCCGTGCCATCCGGACAGCCGCAGGTGCACAGACGGACGGATGTGGCTGAGGAGGGGCGGCCCTGGACCCACAGCCGGAGCCCCGCCTCGTCCTGCGGGCTGCAGCGCCCCCTGGTGTCACTGAGTGAGGCTGCAGGGTCACTGTGGACTGTCCCCCACCCCGGGCCCCTGGCCCTTGCTCCCTGCAGCCAGACCCACTGGCACCCCACCTCCGCTGCCTCCCCACGGCGGGGAAACCACGGGTCCCCCAGGTCACACGGGTGCCCGGGTTCACCCCCAGGGTCGCCGGCCCTTCCGGGGCTCGATTGACCTGCGGGGGTCTGCGAGCCGCCGGCAGGGGGTGACTCGGTGGGATGCGGGTTTTCACTGCACAGCATCTGGGGCGTCCCGGGCCTCTGGGGCTCCCCTGGGGCTGGGACCCCCACCCCCTGGGCACACACCCCCCACCAGCCACTGAGGTGAGACTGCACGGCCAAAGCCACCCCCACGGCTCACACGGCAAGCCCACCCGGGCAAGGGCAGAAGTGACCCCGGGGCCGGCACAACCCGAGCGGGGCGGGGCAGAGGGTCCGAGCTGACCAGGCACAGCACCAGCACTGCCGAGGGCCCCTCACCCCCACACGCGGCACCTGCGCCCGCCGGGCCGCCCTCCCCCTCGGCATCACCCACAATGCACAGCACCAGGGACGCGAGGGGACTGGGCACGAGTGAGAGCGACGTGGCCATCACCACGCGGGGCCGGGAGGTGGGCAGGGGCGTGACCGCGCGGTCAGCGGCACCGGGAGGCGCCCAGAGCCTCGCGTGACCGCAGCGTGCAGGCAAGGCAGGGAGGGCGGTGGCGCACCTGCAGGGGGCGGGGCGGGGCGCCCGTGTGGGTGCCGGAGCCGCGCCTGCTAGCGACCCTGTCTGCAGTCCCTCTGAGGACGCGGTGAACACAGCACCCAGGTCCTAAACTCTGCAGGGGTCAGGACAAAAGGAACCCCCTACCCTACAGGAGTGACCCGCCTGGGACAGCCGGGCCCCAGGGAAGCCACAGGAAGCCGTGACCCTGCAGGGCCACACAGGCGAGGCCGCCCCGGGACGGGGGCATCTGCAGGGCTGGACAGGATGTGGGGCGACGGCCACGCCCTGTGCCAGGCCACAGGGCCCTGACCCTGACCCGCTGGACAGAGAAAGAGGTGCTGACAGAGGGTCCTGCACCAGGAACCACCACCCAGAGCAGGCCCCACTCCACCCAGCAGACGCACGACTGAAATACAGGGACGCAATCCACACCCTCGAGTGACACGGACACCCGGACCCCAGCCCCACATGGACCCCAACCCCACACGGACACCCGGGCCCCCACCCCACACAGACACCCGGACCCCCACCCCACACGGACCCCAACCCCACACGGACACCCGGGCCACAACCCCACAAGCACACCCAGACCCCAGCCCCTCGTGGACACCCGGACCCCAACCCCTCACGGACACCCGGACCCCAACCCCTCACGGACACCCAGACCCCAGCCCCACACGGACACCCAGACTCCAACCCCTCATGGACACCCGGGCCCCAGCCCCACACGGACACCCAGGCCCCAACCCCACACAGGCACCCGGACCCCAGCCCCACACGGACACCCAGACTCCAACCCCTCATGGACACCCGGGCCCCAGCCCAGCCCCACCTCTCGGCCACCCCGCTGAGGTGAGCTCACTGACGTGAGGCCAGGAGGCCCCGCCTCGTGCACAGACTGACCCAGGCTGACCGGCAGAAGCCCACGTCCACACGCGGCATCGTCGGTGCAGGGAGGAGGGCGTGGGTGTGCCGACCGCCCACTGCTCACCCGGCCCCACCAGGGAGGGCCTGGGGGGCGGTGATGGGGCCCCAGAGCAGCCCCCCAGTGTCAGGGCTGTTCCTCATCCGAGGTGCGGAGGGCCCGCCTGCGTACACAGCAGGGATACCACACTGTCCACACGCATGCACACACATGTCCACACACACGGAGATACACGGTGCACACACGTGCACGCCCGCACCTAGACACACCTGTGCACACGTGACCCCACCCGCACGGGACACACTGCCACGGTCCACACAGCTGACCTCACTCCCGGAGGGGAAGGCCAGCTGCCGCGGCCCGCAGGGAGAACAGGTGCAGTGACCGCGGCCAGCGTGGGCCAGGCTCCGCCCCTCGACTCTGAGCAGAGTCCAAGGCCGTGATGGGCTCTGCCCCTCCCCCTCAGGACATGGAGTCTCCCACACGTGCCCCCAGCCGCCTGTGTGTCCCCCGCGTGTGCCCCCAGTTGCCTGAGTGTCCCCCGCGTGTGCCCCCGGCCACCTGTGTGTCCCCCGCGTGTGCCCCCAGTTGCCTGAGTGTCCCCCGCGTGTGCCCCCGGCCGCCTGTGTGTCCCCCGCGTGTGCCCCCGGCCACCTGTGTGTCCCCCGCGTGTGCCCCCAGTTGCCTGTGTGTCCCCCGCACGTGCCCCCGGCCGCCTGTGTCCCCCGCGCGTGCCCCCGGCCGCCTGTGTGTCCCCCGCGTGTGCCCCCAGTTGCCTGTGTGTCCCCCGCGTGTGCCCCCGGCCGCCTGTGTGTCCCCCGCGTGTGCCCCCGGCCGCCTGTGTGTCCCCCGCGTGTGCCCCCAGTTGCCTGAGTGTCCCCCGCGTGTGCCCCCGGCCGCCTGTGTGTCCCCCGCGTGTGCCCCCAGTTGCCTGAGTGTCCCCCGCGTGTGCCCCCGGCCGCCTGTGTGTCCCCTGCGTGTGCCCCCGGCCGCCTGTGTGTCTGTCCTCCGCGCGTGCCCCCGGCCGCCTGAGTGTCCCCCGCGTCCCCAGGGAGGGACACAGCCCTCTGGGTCAGGCGCAGTGACCGTGGGTCCTGCTGCACACCTGGACGCCAGGGGACCGCAGCTCTTCATCCTGCTCCTGGCTCGTTTATTTGTAAGCTGCTTTATCCATTCGCCTGAGGTAGTGACAGTGTTACGGCGGGGTGGGGGCCGGCCCACGGGTGGAGCCCGAGCCTGCTTGCCACGCCAAAGCGCCGGCCCTGCTCCTGGGTCTCTGGTCAGAAGACAGCGCCAGCCAGCACTGCCCTGGGCACCAGGAACGGCCGGGGCGGCTGGACACCACCAGGGGGCGCCCCGGCCAAACATCCAGACGCAAGCCCCCTGCGGCCCTAAATCCTGCCCCAGACACACCGCGCCCCGCACAGGGGCCAAGGCCTCCCCCGGCGAGTGGACGTCTCTGCACACGGCAGGGCCCACGCACGGCTCCACGATGGCCTCCGCGGACACGCGTGTGTGGAAACGTCCCCAGGTCTGCAGCATACAGGAGGCGGGAAGCCTCCCAGCCCACAGCCCGGCCCGGAGCCAGGGTGTGCCGAGGTCCACGGGGGCGGGGGCGTCCCGCTCACCGGGAGGCTGTGGTCACCGCGTGGGCGGGGCTGCGCCTGTGGTGCGAGGCAGGCGTGGGCAGGCAGCGGCCACATCTATCCCCCACCCCTCGGGTTCCTGGCTGCAGGCTGTGCCCCCATCCGTGCCTCACCCCAGCCCAGGCCAATGTCCTAACCCCACCTGCAGTGACCCTGCTGGCCTTTGTCCCGCCTCTGCAGTGGCCACACCCCCTCCCCCCGAGCAGCTGGAGCCTCCCCTGGCGACGGGAACTCACCACGCACTCCTCACCCCTCCCCCGCTCTCCCTGCAAGGGTGGGGGCACTGGGGGGCAGACACCAGCCAAACCCAAACACCAGGAGCCTGCACCTGTCCCCCGACTCCGAGGCCAGAGACGCCTCAGAAAAACAAAACTGGGCCGCCGCCTGCAGTGCTGACGTCCCACCTGGCCGCGGGTTCGAGACCCAGCTGCTCCACTTCCGGTCCAGCTCCCTGCTATGGCCGGGGGAAGCAGAGGAAGGCAGCCCAAGTCCCTGGGCCCCCGCACCCGCGTGGGAGACCCGGAGGACGCTCCTGGCTCCAGCCTGGCCCAGCGGATGGAAGGCCTCTCTCTGTCTCTCTTTCAAATGAACAGAAAAACAATTCTTTAAAAACAGAGCCAAAACCAGACCCGCCCGGGCAGCCCTGGTGAGCCCGCCTGCCCACACGGCAGAGCCTGCCTCCCCTCTCCACGTCCCCCGCCTCTTGCCCAGGGGGGCTCTGAGCTCCGGGGCAGTGACCAGGCCGCTGCAGGTATGGGCGTCACTGGCCTTGCTGTGCCCTCGGCGGCTGCTGGAGACGGGTGGGTGCAGGCAGCCCGTGCCAGCAGGAGGGGCCAGGCTGGGGCACCCAGGTGAGCAGAGCCGAGCGGGGGTGAGGCTTGGCAGTGGCCAGGCACTCCTGGACCCTGGCAGGGGCGCCCCCTGAATGACAGCGTGACTGGTCCTGGGAGGGGGCTTCAGGGCCGCCACGGGGGTCTCTCCCCAGGGGCCCATGCCCAGCCACGGGCCACCTGGCTGGAGACGTGGCCAGCGCTGCCTCCTCTGCCCCCAGGCTCCCAGGGCCCAGCTGCACCCAGGACAGCCGCCGAGCTGGGCAGGGACCCTGCTCCCAGGACACCCGACACAGCTCTGTCCTCAGCACAGCAGGCACCGCCCACATCCCGTCCAGCTCCCCATTGATGGCCTGGGAAGGCAGTGGAGACGCCCCAGTGCCTGGGCCCCTGCACCCGAGTGGGGGGCTCAGGGCAGCAGCCGCACTAGCACCCGGGAATTCCTGCCCCAGGCGGGAGACCGCGCAGAGCTCCGGGCTCCCGGCCATGCCCTGGCCCAGCCCTGGCCGCTGCAGGCTTTGGGGACGGGAGATTCTCTCAAATGGACCGAATATTGTGGTACGTCCCACGCAGGGCGTTGCTTTTCGGTGAGAAGGTCCGAACGCAGACGCGGGTCCGGCCGCGCAGGCGAGCGCTCGCCACTCCCGGCCCACGGGCGAGAGGGACCAGGCCCCTTCGCGGCCCGCGGCGCCGCCTGCTGGCGAGGGCGCGCGCTGCAGCCGGGCGCGGGATTCGGCTCGCGGCCAGGTCTCTCCCCCGCACGGGAGCCAGGTACCCGGGGTGGACCCGGGGGCCTAGGGCGGCCGCTTCCGCCCGACGTCCTTGCTCTCCATGGCGAGAGGGGCCAAGCGGCAGCCCCGGTGCTCCGGGCCTCTCGCCCCGCGGCCCCCGAGCTGCTCCGGGGGTCGCCTGGTTTCCAGAAGTCTCTCGGGAAAGGAGGGTCCACGACACGTGTCCACCTGCAGACTCACGCACGGGGAAGACGCCCAGGAGAGCGCTTCAGGCGGCAGCCGCACGCCCCTACGCCTGGAGCCCTGGATGCCGGCCGCGACCCCAAAGAGCCCATCTCACGGCTGCACGCCCGGCGAGGCAGCCCGGAAACCCTGCTGGTGGACCCTGCCCGCCCGACCCAAGCCCACGCCTCGCACACACCTGGGCCAGAGCGGAGGGCAGTCCACCGCCCCGCCCCGCCTCCACACCGCCGGCCCCGCCCCCTCCAGGCTTGGTTTCCGGGCAGAGTTGTGGAAGGGGCGAGAACGCGCGCAAGGCTTGGAACAGGGGCCAAACCGGGGTTCCGGACGTCCACCAGGCTACCTGGCCTCGCACCGCGTTCGCACTCTACGTACTTCACGCGTGAGGCCCGCGGCCCCAGACCGCAGCGCCGGGGCTCGAAGTGCCCACGTGAGTCTCGTGACCAGTGCCCGACCCAACTATGGCCCCCCGGACCCCGCTGCCCGCCCCCAAGATGGCGCCTCGGCGCGCTGACGTCACGAGGCGGGTCCTCGGGCCGCCCCGCCCTCCGCCAGCCTCCCGGAAGCGACGCCCGAGGTGGACTGACGCGGAGGGGCGTGGGTGCGTCCCCGAGCCTGGTCAATCCTGGGGACCGCGCCTCGGGCCCCGCTAACTGCAGGCCGCGGTGGCTCCCGAGCGCGGGCCCCGCACCCACGCGGGAGACCTGGTGGAGCTCCGGGCTGCAGCCCGGCCCGGCCGTCGCAGGCACCTGGCGGAGACCCGCGCGCGGCCTCCCCGCGCTCCGCGAGCCCGAGTGACCGAAAATCCTTCCCGGCCGGCTCGTCCCCGTTCACCGGCGAAACGCAGCCCCTGTGTTTGCTCTGCGGGCTCGCTCAGTGCCACCACGTGGGAACGGGGACCCGCGAGCACCGCCCGCCAGGGGCCGGCTCCCTCCACCGCGGTCAGCCCGGCGTAGGCAGCAGGGACTTCCCGTCCACACCCCCAGGGGCCCTGGAGAGGCCATGGTCCGGGCTCGGTTTCGGACAGAGCCCAGGCCTGTGTGCTTTCCAAAGGCCGGGCTGGGGGCGTTGGACCCCAGGCCAGGGCAGCCGTTTCTAGGCCAGAGGCCCCGTTAGCGACCTGACTACTCGCAGCCTCAGCGGTCAGCCAGAGCGGGTTCTCTGCTGCGCCAGGCACGGACAGTACACCCCCCAGGCCTCCCTCTGGGCCTGGGTGTGTTGGGGGTCCAGCCCAGCCTGGCTGGGAAGGTGAGGAGAGGCCCCCCACTGTGGACACGTGGTCTCAGCCCTTGGCACAGGAGCACGCTGTGGCCGTGACTATGAGCCATGCCACCGGGGCAGAGGGACTGGGCGCCACCCTGGAGCTGGTGCGGCCACTGCACGGACACCCCCAGCTGGGGGTTCCCACCAGCCCGGGGCCGGGTTCACCCACGGCTGCATCACAGCCTAAACGTCCAGAGGTCCCAGGGCCAACCTCCCCACACCATGTCCTGGCCACCTGGGGAGGGGGCAGCGCGCTGGACAGTCTGCGCACTGCCCAGGTGTCCCATGGACCCACCCAGGAAACAGATGCTGCTGCCACCCTCGGACCAGAGGCACCTGCACGTCCCACCCCTCAGCTGCTCTCTGCCCAGGGCAGTGTCCACCCCCACCCCACCGGAGGGGCTGCCATCTGCCTGAGGTCGCTTTAAGCTCCCCACCTCCTAAATCCATAACAAAAATAATCCCTGCGCTCCCTGATGTGCCCCAGTTCCAGAGCACGTCCTGATCCATCAGGCCCCGGGAGGCAAGGTGACCCCGTTCCACAGCCTCGCTGCAGGGGACGGGGGCTCGAGGGCCACCCCTGCAGGGTTCTGGGCTGAGCCCCAGGTGGGCTGCACCCGGGAGCTTGGCACTGCCCCCTGAGGCCCCTGTTGCTGTCTGGGGCCCCCAGCCAGGATACAGCCTCGCATACGCATCCCCGAGGGCCCCGAGGGCCCCGTGGGCAGGAGGGGAGGAGCGTGGGAGAGGGGGCCTGTCCACAGACCAGCCTGGACCCTCAGCTCTGGGTGGGCGCTGACACGTGGAGCCCCAGAGCCCCCGAGGCTTCCGGCCACAGCTCGCTCACACCGACGGGGCAGACCCAGCAGCTTGCGCACCTCCCGGCACAGGTACCTGTGCGTGGGGCAGCTGCCCAGCTCCCCAGCCCCAGCCCAGCCCCGGATCGGAGCAGGAGGCCGGGACAGGGAGCCACACACCCAGCAAGGCCTCCTGGCCCAAGATGCCCGTCACTGGACATCACAGACCTCCCACATGCTGTCAGCTGCAGAGGCCACAGAGACAGATCCTGACCCCGTCCCTGCTCTCCGAGGTGGCCAAGGAGGCACTCGATGCCACCCAGGAAGCCCCTCACCCGGCTGAGACCGGGCCCCACTGGGGATCCCTGGGCCGCGTGTCCCATCAGAGGCTGGCAGTGTGCCCGGCCGAGCCGCGGGGCGGTGCCAGGGCCCCAGGTGGCGGGAGTGGGCGGGGCACCTGCCAGGGCTCTGCCTGCCTGGCCAGCCAGTCGGTGCACACACTCAGCTGCCGCTGCCCCCTTGCCGCACCGGCTCATCGTCTGCTCTCATTGTCACTCCAAGGTAAGGTGCTGAGAAGGAAGTGGGGACTGGGGGACCCCCCATTTACCCAGCCCAGTCCACAGGGCGCAGGGGAGCAGCTGCCCTGTGTGCAGGAGCTGATGGGGCCCCGTGCCCGCCGCGCCGTGTGCGTCCGCAGGGCGCCTGGAGGGCTCCACCGTGTGCATTGGCAGAGGGGCCTGGAGGGCTCCGGCAGCAGCGGCTGCTCGCAGGCAGGGCTGGGGCTGCAGACGAGGCCTCCCACCCTCGCGGCTGTCCAGACTAGATGGCTGTCCAGAGTGCCGAAACGCGAGTCTGCACGTCCCCCGTGTGCTGCCCATCACCCCCCGGGAACCTGCCCCTCTCCCCAAGCCGCTCACCCCGCTGACCCCTGGGGCGGCTCCCACGTGACCAGATCCTGGGCCCTCCCCCGAGAACCTTGCAGGAGAGGGGCCCCTTCCCAGCCCGGGATGCCCCCCCAATGCGGTGCCAGCGCCTGCAGCCCCTGGCCACCTCCCCAGAGTACAGAACACCGGTCCCCCACCTCCCGGGGGGACTGCAGCACGGGTCCCCCTGGGCCCGGCAGCCCCGCCCTGCCACTTGACCCCGTTGTGCTCAGGTGTCCCGGGAGACACCGGCACCGGGGCCACCCCAGCCCAGGTCCTGGACTGCCCAGTGCCCCGGTCCTCAGCGGCACAGCCCAGCCACCCCACCCCATGCAAATTGGAGCCAAATCCTCCTGGCCCCGGGATCCACCAGCCCAGGGTGGGGGCGGGGCTCTGCCCAGATGCAAATCAGAGACCGTCCGCTGGCCCCCACCTCAACCGGGGTGGGAAGTGGACCCCGACTGGGGAGGGCTCAGGGAGCTCCCAGCGGCCTCAGCACCCCCGCCCCCCCCATCCGGAGGCAGGAGGATGGAAAGTTCGTGTGCTGATTAGCCCCGCGGGCAGGGGCGCCCCGGGGGACTCCAGGCATCTGCCTGCGGCTCCCCTCGGCTGTGGGCAGGGGCGGCCTGGCCCCCAGGCTCCGCTGTCCTTTTGTGCTGGGCACGCACAGGCGGGAGGGGCACCTCCAGCAGCCCCGGCTCTGTTGCCTCCCCGCGCCCCCAGCTCCAGGCTGGCCGCCGCGGAAGCCCCCGACGCCATGGAGGAGTGGGACGTGCCCCAGATGCAGAAGGAGGTGGAGAGCCTCAGGCACCAGCTGGCCTTCAAGCGGGAGGCGTCCTCCAAGACCATCCCCGAGTGAGTGCCGCGCTGCCCGTCCACGCGAGCGCGGGCCCCGCTGCCCCGTCCACCCGAGCGCGGGCCCACGCTGCCCCGTCCACCCGAGTGCGGGCCCACGCTGCCCCGTCCACCCGAGTGCGGGCCCACGCTGCCCCGTCCACCCGAGCGCGGGCCCACGCTGCCCCGTCCACCCGAGTGCGGGCCCACGCTGGCCTGCGCCCCGTGCACGGGACCAGGACCCCACCCCTTGGACGGGCAGGCGCCCCAGCGCGGAGCCCCCGCTCACCCGGCCCCCGCCCCCCGCAGGCTCCTCAAGTGGATCGAGGACGGGGTCCCCAAGGACCCGTTCCTGAACCCCGACCTGATGAAGAGCAACCCCTGGGTGGAGAAGGGCAAGTGCGCCATCCTGTGAGCCGCGGCTTTTATAAAGGCGGCGGAAGCACCGCTCTGGTCCGTTCTCTGGGGGCACGCGGGGCGGGGCGGGGCGGGGCTACAGCAGGTCCCGGATGTGCAGGCTGCGCCGCACGGCGTTGGAGACGCCCTCGTTGAAGCGGAACCAGACCTGGCTCCTGCCCACCGCGGTGCCCATGCGCCACTCGGCCGCGTCCTTGTCGGGGGCCTCGTTCTCTGTGGGAGGCACGGGGACACGCGGTCATTGCGGGCCTGGCCGCACTCCCTGCGCCCACCACAGCCCCCACACACCTGCACCTGCTGCCGCGCTCCTGACCACCACGCGTCCGAAGAAGTCCCTCTCGGGCTGAAGGGGGAGGGGCCGTGAGGCTGCTGGACAGAGCCCGCCCCCCGCCCCCCGCCCCGCCCTGCACACGGCAGGCCCTCTCCTGGGGAGCCCAGGCCCCCCGCTCCGCACCCGCTCCTCGGGGATCGCCCTCCTCGTGGGCAGCCCAGACCCAGCCCCTGCCCCGCCCCCACCCCGCACCTGCTCTGGCGATGGCCCTCCTCGTGGGCAGCCCAGGCCCGGCCCCTGCCCCGCCCCCGTCCCGCCCCCGCTCCTCGGGGATCGCCCTCCTCCTGGGCAGCCCAGGCCCCGCCCCCGCCCCGCACCTGCTCCTCGGGGATCGCCCTCCTCGTGGGCTGTAGCCGCAGCTCGCGGGGGGCGGGGCGCGGCAGCCCTCTCTCCCCACTCCCTGGAGGACCCCCGTCCACCTGCAGGAAGAGGGCTAGGTGAGGGCTGTTGGGCAGGACTTCCTGCCCCGCCCGCGCCGCGCCCGGGGGGCTCACCTGGGGGCTGTCCGCAGCCCGGGCCACGGCCTCGGCCCTGCGCATCTTCTCCACCTCGATCTCGCGGGCGATGAGCTGCTTGGCCTGGTAGGTGAGGGGCTTGCGGGCCGGCAGCTCGGGGAAGCGGCACACCTCCTCCACGTTCCTGCCCGGGGCACCGCTCAGCGCGCCGGCACCGCCCACGCGCCCTCCCGCGACAGCTGCAGGGCTGCGGCCTTGGCGGCCGGGCACGGGGACATCGATGGGGCCCCACCCCCACCGCCCACCACCCACCGCCAGCCCCGGGCGCGGGGCTGTGTCCTCTGGGGGCCGCTCCTGGGGACAGAGGCTGGTGACGCCGGCCCCGGAGTGCAGCAGTGACCACGCCCCCCAGCCCCCCAGGTGCAGGCACTCACGGCTCCAGCCTGTAGACGTACTGCCCGTCGGGCGTGCGCTCCTGGCGGTAGGTGAGGCTGTAGGCGAGCATGGTGCCCACCAGGCTGGACAGCTGCTGCTTCTCGCGGGCGCTGTACAGCTGTGTGCTCACCTGGGCGGGCGGGCAGCCAGGGGCGGGCTGAGCAGGCCCCGCAGCAGACCCCAGGGGAGCCCCGCCCTCTCCCGCGTGGCACTCACGGGGCGCAGCTTAGGGGTGAGGATGTCCAGGAGCAGGCAGAGGGCGTCCAGGACCAGGGCCTGGGGCGCGGCCCGGCTGCGGGTGGCTGGGGCGATGCCGGACACCAGCGTCTGGATCAGGTTCCTCATCTGGGTCGTCCGGCTCTGGGCCTAGGGCAGAGGGTGAGCCAGCCCGGCCCCAGCGCCTCGCGGGCCGGCAGGGGTGGGGCGGGGCGGGGCGGGGCGGCGCACCTCCTGCTGGCTGCTGGGGAAGACGATGTGCGGCACGTGGCTGGCGGCCAGCAGCACGTGGAAGGCCACGGGCAGGAAGGGGGGGTAGCGCAGCAGCTGGAAGTTCTGGCTGTGGTGGGCGGCCCGGCCCAGCAGGTCGTCGAAGGCCAGCCAGTCCAGGGCGGCGCACACCGTGCCCAGGCTGGAGTCGCGCAGGCGCAGGCGCAGGAAGTTCTCGAACAGCCCCTGCAGGCCGCGGGCGGCAGTCAGGCCCTGCCCCCCCCCCCAGCCCGACGGTCCGGGGGACAGCCACAGAGAGCGGCCCAGGGCCCGCCCGGAGCCCCGCCCACCAGCCGCCTCCCGCGAGGCGGATCCCGGATCCCGCTTCTGATCCAAAGCCGCTCAGCCGCGAAGCTGCTTAAGCCGGGCTTTCAGGGGGGGGGGGGGCTTTGCCACGGCTCGGCCAGAGTGCACGTGCCCGCGCCGGCCCCGCGGCCCCTGGAGCAGCCCCGCGCCACCCGCACCCCCCGGCGGCAGCCGGGCAGTACCTGCACCACCTTCTCGTGCTCGCCCGCGGAGGTGGCGACGTGCAGGACGCGGTGGAACCGCTGTGAGGCCATGGGCAGGGCGCCCGCGTCCCCCTCACCCAGCAGGAGCCCGAGGGCCGGCAGCGTGGGGTCCTGACCCACATGGCGCCTGCGGGGCAGAGGGGCCCGGTGTGCTATCTGCACACCCCCACGCTCGGGGCTGCCCGCCCAGACCTCTGGAAAGCCCCCAAGCCGGGGCCCTGGGCTGGGGGCTGTCGTAGGGGCACCGCAGGGGCCCAGGAGCCCGCAGGGCAGACCCCTGTGTCCCAGCGTGGGGGCGTGGGGGGCAGGCCCATCCCCGCCCGCTAGGGGCCCCCAGGGCTCCCAGAGCCTGAGCCCGGGCCACAAGGCCACACAGCCGAGACAAAGCTGGAGGCCGGGCCGGCTCCGAGGCGGCTCTGGGTCTCCCGGGCTCCCGGCCCCGCCGCCTACCTCTGGGCGCGGGGCAGCTGAAAGACCTCCCGCCACACCGAGAACAGCCCTCTGCGCTGGTCCTTGAGGCCGACGTGGGTGGTCTGCACGGCCCGCACGCTCAGCTCTCGGCCCCGCCCGTGCAGGAACTGGACACAGGGTGGGGGGTGGGGGGTGGGGGGGTGAGAGGCTGCCGCGCCCTGCCGCCCGCTCAGCCCGCTCGCGGCCCCGCCCACCTGCAGCGTGTTGATGCAGGCCCGGATGTCGTTGTCCGTCTTCTCACAGAGAGCAGCCAGCGCGCCCACGTCCGCACGCATGCCCTGCCGCACACAGATCTGAGGGGAGGGGGCTGGTGAGGCGCAGCCCCCGGCCCCACTCGCACCCATGGCCACTGGCAGGCAGCTCCGGCCGGGAAGCGCCCACCCCTGTCAGCCGCCACAGCCGGCCCGCCGCTGGGGACGGAGGGGGACGGGGGGGGGGACGGAAGGGGGACGGGGGGGAGACGGGGGGGGGGGGACGGCGGCCCCGTCTGACCTCCTGCAGCCGCTGCACCAGCCGGGCGGGCAGAGTCGGGGGGACGTGCAGCAGGAGCGCCTGCTGCTTCAGCTGCCGCAGGGCCGGCGCAAACCTGCAGGAGGGCGTGGTGGGCAGTGCACAGGCAAGGCCGGAGGCCGGGCCCCGCCCCGTGACGGGACAGCCCCCCACTCACGGGTCATTGCAGATGCAGATGACGGGCCGGAGCAACAGGCCGCCCTCGCCTCGGCGCTGCCGGCCCCCCGGCCCCGGCCCCGGCCCCGGCTCCTGCGGGCCCTTGCGGTTCAGCACGCTCAGCAGGACGCTGACGGCCGCCTTCGGGAGGGAGAGGCCCAGGTCAGCGGGGCCCGGGCCGCCCAGCCCGCCACCCCGGACGCCCAGGAGCCCCACCGTGGGCGCCCCGTCGATCTCGTCGATGACCAGGCAGTTGGGCCGCCCGCCGGCCCCCAGCACCGACTCCATCTGCGTGGCGGCCTCGATGCGGGTGCGGAAGGCCTCGGGGCTGCGATCGTCGCTGAAAAAGGGGCCGGGGCGGGGTCTCAGGCGCTGGGAGCCGAGCCTAAGCCCCGCCCCCGGCCCCGCGGGACCTGCTAGGACAGGCGGGAGAGCCGGGCTGGCCCCTGGCTCACCTGGCGTTCATCTCCACCACGCAGTAGCCGGCGTGCCGAGCGATCACGTGCGCCAGTGTGGTCTTGCCCAGTCCCGGGGGCCCACACAGCAAGGCCACCTGCAGCCGAGGCAGGCGAGGCGGCCGGTGACCACACAGACTCCGCCAAGCCCGGCCAGCACCGGGCCTGGCCCCAGCCTGGCTGCTCCCTGGACCCCGCCAGACCAGAAACGCTGCCCAAGCACCCGAGAGGGACACAGCTGGCACCCGCAAGCCCTCCCCAGAAGCCACCTGCCCGCTGGGGCCGCGGGGCGGGGCGCAGCTTCCCCCAGCTCACCGGAACCGACTCCGGTTCCGACCGCGCTGGCGGCACGGCGCGGGGCGACCCTCGTGCCGGGCTGCGGGCGCACCTTCTGCCGGGGCCTCTGGCTCGCGTCCAGCTCCGCCTCGAGCATGGCCTCCAGCACCTGCTCGTGGCTCTTCCACTTGCCGGGCGCCGGGGCCTCCCTGCCGGCCCTGACCGGCTCCACGCTGGGCCGGGGCTTCCGCAGGGGCCTGTCGTGGCCGAACACGACCGCGTCCCAGAGCTTCAGCCACTTGAGGAGGCAGCGGTTGGTGAACTGTGGAGGGCAAGGACAGGCCTGCGGGACCACCGGGCGGCCCAGCAGCCAGGACCCTGCTCCCGGCCTGGCACACAGGACAGGTCGCCGTGGCTCAGGACGGCCGAGGGCCACCTCCACACACCTGCCAGCGAGCGGCGAGATGGGACTCCAACCAGGACCCGGCCCTCCCCAGGGACATCCGAGGAGGGCCAGCTGCTCTGTGGGCTAGGAGACCCCCCCCCCGCAGCGGCCCCCACTGGCCCCTGCAGCCCAGCGGGAGCCCGGGGCCGCCCCCGCCCCGCCCGGCTCTCACCCCCGCCCCGCCCCCGCCCCGCCCCGCTCTCACGTCATCGCTGAGCAGCTCCCGGTAGCACCGCGGCGTGAACTCGTCCACCCACAAGCGGTGCTGGGCGTCCTGGCCGGCGGCCGGCTGCTCCTCAGGGGCTCCGGCAGGCTGCGCCGCCCCCTCCTCGGGCTGCAGGCTGCAGGGCAGGGCGTCCTGAGCCGCAGGCCCCGGCCCCCGCGGGCACACAGGCGGAGGCTCGCTCTAGGAAGCAGGAGGGTCCTGGGGGAGCCCCGGGGGAGCCCCCCCCCCCGTCACCTGTGCAGGGCATCCGGGAGCTGCTGGGCCTCCTGGAGCACGCGCTGTCGCCTCTGCACACACAGACCGGCGAGCGGTCAGCACAGCCCGGCGCCCAGCACCACACCCCCCCCCGGCCCCGCGCCCCCACCTCGCTGTCCACTTGCTCCTTCAGGGAGGTGAGGGGCACACCCAGCAAGTCCAGCCAGCCTCCGCCTCGCCACCGCACGTCCAGGAGAGGGCTCTGCGGGGGCAGCAGGGTGGTCCCGAGTTCCCCTCGCGGCCGCGGGACTGCCCACACCAGCGCTGCGGGGCCAGGCGGCACCCCCTGCCCCGCCCCCGCCCACCAGGGGAGCTAGAGGGGAGACGGCCTGGTGAGGCAGGGACCCCGCGGGCAGGGTCCACGGGAGCCGAGGTGGAGATCGGGAAGAGAAGGCGGCCGGCCCACCGGCCGCAGGTGAAGCCCGGCACCCTCTCCGGGCGGCCCTGACCTCCCGGCCTGCAGGGCAGCCCCCCCCAGCGCCCACGCACCTGCAGCCCCGTGCCCGCGGGGTCCTCGCGCAGCACCAGGAAGGCCCGGTCGCCGCCCGTGGAGGTCACGTGGACGTAGTCCTCCAGCACCGGGGGCCGCCGCAGCACGCGCCGGCGAGAGGCCGAGGCCGCGGCGCCGCAGGGCCTGGAAGGGGCCGGAGTGGGCCTCAGGGGCTGCCGGCTCCCGCGCGCGGCCCCCGGGGCAGGTGGGTGGGGATCCCGCGCCCCCGGCACGCACCCGTCGCCCCGCGGCTCGGCGGGGACCTCGGGGCTCGGCGGCGGGGTGATGCCCGCCGGCGGGGAGTCGGCGGGCGGCGGCTCCTCCACGTCCTCCCCGAAGCTCAGCCTCTTGGCCGCCTGCAGCCGCGGCCGCCGGACCTCGGGAGCTGCGGAGACGGGCAGAAGGGAGGCCCCCGCCGCGCCCCGCGCCCCGCGCCCCGCCCCGCCCCGCGCCCCCGGCCCGGACGTACTGGGGGGCGGCTCGCTGCCGACGTCGGCCTCCAGCGGCCGCTTCCTAGCCCTGGCCGGGCGGGCCTGGACCGCCTCTCCTCCGGCCACGGCCTCCTCGAAGGTCAGCGGGGCCCGGGGCGTCGGGGGGCGCGGGCGCGCGGAGGTCCCTGCGGGCGGGAGCGTCACAGCGCCGCCCCGGGCCGCCCCGGGCCGCCCGCCGCCCGCCGCAGGACCTCGCGCGCCCACCTTCCAGCTCGGCCAGCACCTCGAGCTCGGCCGCGAACTGGCTGTGGAAGTCGTCCTCGACCCCGTACAGCTCCTGCTCGTAGTCCTCCATGGCGGCCGCGCGCTCCGAACCTCCCGCCCGCCGCCGCCGCCGCCGCCGCCGCCGGCCCTCACGCAGCGGCGCTCGCCATTGGCCAGCGGCTGGGGGCGGGACCGCGGCCGGGGCGGGGCGGGGCCCAGCCACACAGCGCGGGAGTCGGAGCAGCGGGCGGCCGCCATTGGCTCTCATTGCCGCCGGTCTGCGACGGGGCGGGACGTGGACGGGGGAGGAGACGGGCCTGGGAGCGCAGGCCGCGCTGGAGTCGGAGCGGCGAGTCGGCGGCCGCTCGCCATTGGCCGGCACAACCGTCACTCCCCGGCGGGGCGGGCTGGCTGCGCGTGCGCCGGCGGGGCTCCGGTGCTGCTCCGTGGCGCGGGTGGCGGCTGCTGGTGGCTGCGTCTAGGGACGCGGGGGCTGCGGAGCGACATCGGGGCCCGGACGGCGCCGTCCGGCTGCAGGTCGGTGCTGGGGTGGGCGGGCGCGGGAGGGCTCGGAACCGGGGTCCGCCGGGACCCGGCCTGTGCCAATCCTCGCGCGCGGGCGGGCAGGCGGGGAGAAAGGAGCCTGCGTGTCGTGGGGCGGGGGGCGGCGAGTGGGAGCCCGCGCCCCAGGCGGGCCGGGCGGGCCCTGGGCCGTGGGATCGGCGCCGTCCCGGGCATCGCCCGTGCGGGCAGGTCGGGAGGGCCGCCGCGAGCCTTCGGCGGGATCCACGGCCCGGAGCGGTCCGAGATGCAGCGTGGGCGGCCTCGGAGCGGAGCCCTGGGTGTAGACGGCGCCCCCGCCCGCCCGCCCGCAGGCGCCATGGAGCCGGGCAGCGTGGAGAACCTGTCCGTGGTGTACCAGAGCCGCGACTTCCTGGTGGTGAACAAGCACTGGGACCTGCGCATCGACAGCAAGACCTGGCGGGAGACGCTGACCCTGCAGAAGCAGCTGCGGCACCGCTTCCCCGAGCTGGCCGACCCCGACACCTGCTACGGGTTCAGGTGCGCAGGTCTGGGCGCGGGGGAGGGGCTCGCGCAGGGACCCTGCCACCCCCGACCGTGTCCCCCCGCAGGCTCTGCCACCAGCTGGACTTCTCCACCAGCGGGGCGCTGTGCGTGGCCCTGAACAAGGCGGCCGCCGGCAGCGCCTACAAGTGCTTCAAGGAGCGGCGCGTCACCAAAGCTTACCTGGCTCTGGTGAGGCCCGGCCGGTCCCCGAGGGGGGGTGCTCGGGACCACAAGCCCAGCTCGGCAGCCCCGGGCCCTCCCTCTGCTCCACGGGACGGTCCTGGCGTCCAGCACGTGGGGCCCCGGGGGCAGGGGGCTGGCTGGAAGAGCTGGCCGACTCCCTCTGCCGGGCAGGTGCGGGGCCACGTCCAGGAGGGCCGGGTGACCATCAGCCACGCCATCGGCAGGAACAGCACGGAGGGCCGGGCCCACACCATGTGCATCGAGGGCACACAGGGTACACGCCGGGGCTGGGGTCCTGGGGCGGGCGCCCCGGGGACTCGCACGGTGATGGGAGCCTCACGCCTGCTCCCCGCCCCAGGGTGCGAGAACCCCAAGCCGAGCCTCACGGAGCTGGTGGTGCTGGAGCACGGCTCGTACGGGGGCGACCCCGTCTCCAAAGTGCTGCTGAAGCCGCTGACGGGTGCGTGCGGGAAGGGCCGCCGGCTGGCGGGGTCTCTGGCGGGGACGTGAGCCGGGTGCTCTCGCAGCAGCCGCTGCCGCAGCCTGACGCCGCCCCTGCCCACAGGCCGGACGCACCAGCTGCGGGTGCACTGCAGCGCCCTGGGCCACCCCATCGTGGGTGACCTGACCTACGGGCTGGCCTCGGGCCAGGAGGACCAGCCCTTCCGCATGATGCTGCACGCCTTCTACCTGCGCATCCCCACGCGGGCCGAGCGCGTGGAGGCCTGCACGCCCGACCCCTTCCTGCCCACCCTGGACGCCTGCTGGAGCCCCCACACCCTGCTGCAGCCCCTCGACCAGCTCGCCCGGGCCCTGCAGGCTGCCCCCGACCCTGAGCCCACAGACAGGGCCCCCCGAGCCTGCAGCCCCTCGGAACCCCTGCCCGGGCCGGGCCGGCCCCCACCGCCCCGCACCAAGCCCCCAGAGACTGAGGCACAGCGGGCCTCCTGCCTGCAGTGGCTGTCGGAGTGGTCGCTGGAGCCAGGCCACTGAGCCGTGGGCCGGGGCTGCCGTGCCGCAGAGCCCAAGGCCTGGCCCTCCGGGGACGTTGCTCCTGGGCGGCAGCCAGGCCTCGGCAGGGCCGGGGGGTCCGCAGGGGGTGAGGACGATGCACTCTGGCTTGGGGCCGATGCCGGTCCCCTTCCCACCGTCCCGGGGGCCTCTAGCCAAGAGGCTGGGCCAGGATCTGGCCAGTGTGCCCCAGGGGGGGCTCCCAGGTGGCTGTGGCCCCCATGGAGGGGCTGAGAAGTGCCCTGGCCACATCCCTGGCTGTGGCCCGAAGCCCGCAAGATTCCAGTAGCTCTGCCCACACTGCTCAGGTCGTCTGACCCCCAGCCTGGCCAGCACCCCCGCATGGCCCTGTCCCCTGCCCGGCTGGGGTCTGGGCGCGTCTGGCCCACCTCGTGCCTTCGCTTCTGCTGGCCACCTCTGCCCAAGCCTCGTCTAGTGGACTAGGAGCTTGGCGCCGGGCAGGGACGGGGCAGTGGCCGGGGAGCCCTGGCCACACGCGCATGGTCCTCCAGCCTGACTGCCGAGTCTCCTGGGCGCTGCTGGCCGTAGCGCCCACCGTGTTGCACCTGCCTGGCCCCCACACAGCCACGGGGCCAGTCTCAGCCTCAGAGCCACACCCCTCTTCCCCACGGCCCAGCCGTGCAGAACTGGAATAAACGCTCTGTGACTAGCCCTGAGGCGACATGGCTGCGTCTGGTGGGTTCGGGCACAGGTCTGGACACACAGACCCTTCCGGTTCCCCTCCTCCTCCTGGGCACGAGCAGTGCACGGCCTAGTTTGGGGGCCGTGGGGCACCCAGCTGGTCCTGAGCAGGGTTCCTCCGAGAGCTACCCCACCGTGTCCGGAGGTGTCACCCCACCAGCCTGAGGTCACGGCCTGGGCCTGGCCAGGGCCCTGCCCACTGTGGGACGCAAGCCCCAGAATGACTGACTGCAGGTGGGAGCAGGGGCCACTGCCCCCGGGGCCTGAGCCTGCAGAGGCAGTGGCTGGAGCCGGTGGGGAGGCCGTGCAGCCCCGGCCCCGGCCCCTGGGTCAGCACTGGCCACAGGCAGCTTTCTGACCTGCCTGCCTTTGGAGGACACTGGCTCCTTCCAGGCTGACGCCCAGTGCACGTTCCCTCTTTGCTGAGCCCCGTCCACGCCCCATCCTGTGTCAGCCACTCCCTGTGGGCCTCACTCCCCACCGTGTCTGGCAGGCCTGGCCCTCAATGGGCACCCAGCAGCCGTGCAGGACCAGGGGATGTCCCTAGAGGGCCCCATGCCCCTCCAACCTCCGCCTCTGCTGGACGTGCCCCCACACGCCTGCCGTGGCCCCCGAGGGGATGCACCCAGCTGCCTGCCACACCTGCCGGGGCTGAGCCACCCCACCTCCCTCTGTGTGCCGGGCCTCTCCTGGCCCCTGAGGGGACGTGCCCAGCTGCCTGCCACACCTGCCGGGGCTGAGCCACCCCACCTCCCTCTGTGTGCCGGGCCTCTCCTGTCTCCTGTCCCCTGTCCCCTGAGGGGACGTGCCCAGCTGCCTGCCACACCTGCCAGGGCTGAGCCACCCCCACCTCCCTCCATGTGCAGGGCCACTCTTGTCTCCTGTCCCCCAAGGGGACGTGCCCAGCTGCCTGCCACACCTGCCGGGGCTGAGCCACCCCACCTCCCTCTGTGTGCCGGGCCTCTCCTGGCCCCAGGAAGCTCGGCCATGCGCTGGGGAGGGGAGGGAATGAGAAGCCGTTCCTGCAGCTGGGATGGAGAAGGCCTTTCTTTGAGTTGCCTTCAGAGTCCACCGTGAGGTCAGCGGATTCCCCCGTAGTGGGTGGGGTCCCAGGGGTCCCAGCTAGAGCAGGGACGCAGCCAGCACATCCCCCACCGCTGCCACGCAGCCGCAGGCACTGCAAGTGAAGCCCACGCCCTCCCAGCAGGCTCTGGCCACCCGGGCAGCACCAAGTCCACCGGGAAGCTGGAGCCCGCGCAGCAGGGAGCCACGGCCAGCCGAGGGGCAGCAGCTGGACACAGCAGCCTGGCCCAGGGTTGGGATGAGCCCACAGAGTAAGGCACAGGCCAGCAGGAGGATGCAGACAAGAGGCCGGCGGCGAGCTGGAGGAAGGGTGGGGTGTCCCCCCTCCTGGAACCTGAGGAATCCCTGGACCACTGCCCACCCTCCACTCCCTCCAGGCTAAGGGGAGGGCTCTGGGGGCTCCGGGCAGGGGTCTGCAGCCCCCAGCCTTGGTGTCCTCGCCTGCAGGGTGAGGGACGCAGCTGTGCCAAGGGCCATGGCACCCCCAGGAGGTGGGGACGCGGCGCTTCCTTCCTGTCACTGTCCACGGTGGGCGGGCCAGCATCCGGCCTCTGGTGGACAAGACCCCCCGTCCACAGGCCCTCCAAAACGGGGGCTGCCAGGTTCAGGGGTTGGAGCCCTGTCCCGAGCAGCTGTCCGGCCAGGGCCCGAGGGCCCTTCGTGAGCCAAGCAGGCTGCCACCTCGTGCATCCATGGTGCTGTGCCCCAGCTGTTGGCCCCGCAGGCCCACGTCAGCATTTTGGCCAGGCTGTGGGGCTGGACACTGGGCACCCCCAGCCCTGCGCTCTGAATGTGGTTCTGTGGTGCTGGCCCTGCCCAGGGTGGGGCCACACTGGGGCGCCCGGCCGGGGAGGGGGGCGGGGGGGCAGGGAAGTCCCTCCCCTAGTCTCACTTCCTGCGCTCACGCCCAGAGGCCTCCATGGTGGAGCAACAGCCACGGGCTGGGGCAGGCTGTCCACACGCCCCCTCTGCCATAGTGCACACGCGCCTGACACGCCTGCCTGGCCGCATCCCAGCACCCACAGAATGGCCACAGAAGGCCAGCCGCCACCCTGGGTCCATGTGTGTCTGACGTCTGGGCAAGGGGACACACAGGAGTGCGTGTGCTCCCTCGGGGACTGGGATGCATGCCCGGGTCACAGACAGTGGCACACGCATGACCCTCAGGGTGCAGCTGCCCGGGGCTGGCCCCAGCACTGCGCAGCCGCCAGCTCCCTGGGGCTGGGGAGCAGGTGCCTGCCGTGCCTGGGGTCTCCTGGGGCTGACGTGGGAGCGTCACCTGGGCACGGCCCGGGCCCCTCCTCTCTGTGGCTGCCTGGCAGGTGTCACTGAAGCGGCGGGCCCGGCGGGGCGGGCAGTCATGCGCTGCCTGCTGGGCCAGGCGTGGGGATGAGCGGGGACCCCAGGGCCCCTGCCTGCACCTGTCTGCATGGGCTGACCTCACCCCTGTCTGCGCCTGTCTGCATGGGCTGACCTCACACCTGCCTGCGCCTTGCTGGGGAGCAGCCTTCCCTCCCGCTCGGGTGAGTGCGGCAGGTGCGGGGGGGCGGAGGCCACCAGCCCCAGCACAGGGCAGCCCCTCTGAGCGTCCGCTCCGCCCCTGCCCTGGGGCCGCTGACCTCCCTGCCTCCCCCTGGCCCTGGAGTGGGGGGGGGGGCGGAAGACGAGGCCCCAGGCGTGAAGCTTGGGTCTGCATGGAGGCCCGGCTGCCCAGGGCCGTCACCTGGGGCCAGGTCTTAGGGACACAGCTGGAGGCTATGGCCCAGGTGGGGGCAGAGGAGTGCCCCCCAGCCCCCCAGGCATGGGGTGAAGCTGCGGTTGTGCTAAGGAGCCCCAGGGAGCACAGGAGACTCCACAGCCCAGGTGCCCTGAGCACAGACCTGTGACCGCCTGGAGCCGGGCTGCCCCCCACGCCCCGTGCCTCTGGCAGGGACACAGCTGCAGCCCGAGCTCAGGGCCAGCGCCCTGCCAGCCCCGAGCCCCCTCATTCCCGGCCTCTTCCCCAGCCGGTCCTGGACCTGCCGTCCCAGATGTCTCAGCCAGGCCCAGCGCACCGCACGCCCATGGGCACCAGAGCTGGTGAGCTGACACCTGCGCATGTGGGGCGAGCCGCCCACAGACGGGGTGCTCACACCCCAGGGCTGCCCCAGGGAGTGTAGGGACAAAGCAAGGCTGGGGCCACTCGAGTTGTCCCTGGCAGCCCACCTGGCCCGCCCAGTGCCTCATCCCCCCGGGGGCCACCACTCCAGTCTGCCTGGGGCTCCCTGGGCTGACCCGTACAGAGGCTCAGTGCCTGAGTGGCTCGGGAGGTGGGGGGGGGGGGCCTTGTGCAGGCCGGGGGGGACACAGAGCGGGGGCAGGGGGCTCTGGAGGGGGGGAAGGTGTCTGTGCTGCCACGGACCCACCAGCACCCAGCACCACCGCCACGGTGTGGAGGCCGTCAGACGCGCACCCACCCAGCCCCCTCGGGCGCCCCGAGGCCAGAAATCCCCCACATCCCCCTACCTGGAGGAGGCACCAGGGGAGGGGTCCCACCTGCCCCACAGACTCCCGAAGCCCCCTGCGCTCTGGCCTTCCTGTGTCCGCCACAGCCAAGGCCCTCACCGCCCGCTCTGTTGCAGGTGCCCTGGCGTGCCTGGGCCTGGCCCTCCTCCTGTGCCTGGCTGCCCACTGCTCTCCGCCCTGGGCTAAGAGTGTCCCCCAGGGGGAGCCGGACGCTGGCGGGGACAGCCTGGGGGCGGGGTGAGTGCCGGGCCCTCCCACAGCTCCCACACAAGTTCCAGGGAGAGGCCACCTCCGGGTCCGCACCAGGTCCCTGGGGCCTGACCATCTCAGACAGACCCCCGCCCTGGGCGGCTCTGCTGTGCTCGCGGGGGAGAGATGGCCTGACCCCTGGGCAGCCTGCAGTGGGTCCCAGCCAGCAGGGACGAGGCCTGGGGAGGAAGCACAGCCCCGCGTCTGGACAGGGACCACCAGGGCCTGGCCCCAGCAGCGGGCTCTCAGAGGGCACGGAGGACCGAGTGACCGATGACTGGGGCGGGAACCTTTCCCACGTCGGGGTCAGGCCTGCTCTGCCTGCTTCCCAGGCCCTCCACGCTGGGAGACGGCGGGGTCCAGCTCCTGTCCCGCACCTCCCTCTGGGCTGGCCCTCAGCCCCTCACGGGCTCTCCTGTGCTGTCCAGGGCCAACGCGTCCGTCCTGCAGGGCTTCTGCGGCCAGCCCGCCTGCCAGCTGCCCCGGGACCAGCTCTCGGCCCTCATCAGGAGCCTGGCCTCACAGCAGGTGCCCCTCAAGGCCTGGCAGGTAGGCTCCGCGGCGGAGGGCGGGCAGCGGTTCCCACCTGCTGTGACAGGTAGCCCAGCCCCTGGGGGCCGCCACCCTGCCCCAGCACCACCCACGTGTCTGTCTCTGAGCCGGCTGCTGCCACTGCTGTGCAACGGGAGGCCAAGGCCCTGCCCGCCCCCGCCCCAGCCGCCCCGCCTGCAGCACGGCGCAGGTGCCCCCTCAGTGGGTCCCCTGACCTCCAGGACGCATGGGGGGGTCTGTGCAGGGGCTGGCCGGGCTGTCCCCTCCCTGCCTGCAGCACGGCGCAGGTGCCCCCTCAGTGGGTCCCCTGACCTCCGGGACGCATGGGGGGGTCTGTGCAGGGGCTGGCCGGGCTGTCCCCTCCCCGCCTGCAGCACGGCGCAGATGCCCCCTCAGTGGGTCCCCTGACCTCCGGGACGCATGGGGGGGTCTGTGCAGGGGCTGGCCGGGCTGTCCCCTCCCTGCCTGCAGCACGGTGCAGGTGCCCCCTCAGTGGGTCCCCTGAGCTCCGGGATGCATAGGGGGGTCTGTGCAGGGGCTGGCCGGGCTGTCCCCTCCCTGCCTGCAGCACGGCGCAGGTGCCCCCTCAGTGGGTCCCCTGACCTCCGGGACGCATGGGGGGGTCTGTGCAGGGGCTGGCCGGGCTGTCCCCTCCCTGCCTGCAGCACGGTGCAGGTGCCCCCTCAGTGGGTCCCCTGACCTCCAGGGTGCCTTGGGGGGGGTCTGTGCAGGGGCTGCAGGGGCTGGCTGGGCTGATTCGGAGGGGGAGGGTGCCACTCTCCGCCTTTTTGTTCACCGTGGAGCGTGGCTAACACCCGCCCGGGCCGGGGAGTTGGGGTCCGCCTCCCCTCTCAGTGTGGGGACCCTGTCCTCGGGAGGGTGGAGGAGGGTGCTGGGGTGGGCCTCTCACTGCACCTGTGCCTCACCCCACGTCCTTTCAATGACCCCGGGGCAGCCAAGCGGCCCTGGGAGGGCCCGCCCCCGCCCAGCAGAGCCCCGGGGAGTGTCTGGCACAGCAGGGACCGGGTGCAGGGAGGACAGCGGCTGCTGCCCCTGCCGGCCTCCAGTCCCCCTCTGGACCCCCCACCGGGGGAGCTGCGTCCTGCGTCCTGGCCACAGTGGGGGCTGGAGCCACCTTGGGGTTTGCTCTGATGCAGACCTCAAGCAGGTCCAGGCGATGCGGGGTGGAGGCGGGGCCGAGGGCTGAGGGGCTCAGCCCGGGGCTCCACCAGGCCGAGTCCAGACTGGACAGGGAGTGACCCGCAGCCCGTCCTGCCCAGCTCAGCTGCTTGGCCAACCTCGCGGCCCGGCACCGCCTGCAGGATGACTTCCTGCTGCACCCGCCCGACCTCCTGCTCTTCTACAAGTGAGCGCCCCCCCCCCCGCACCACGGGAGCTCGCCCCCCCCCGACAGGGCGGGCGGAGTGGCCGGCCCCCCCCGTGCCACGGGAGCTCGCCCCCCCCACCCCCGACAGGGCGGGCGGATACAAGTGAGCGCCCCCCCCGACAGGGCGGGCAGATACAAGTGAGCGCCCCCACCTGCGTCACGGGAGCTTGCCCCCCCCCCGACAGGGCGGGCGGAGTGGCCGGCACCCCCCGTGCCACGGGAGCTCGCCCCTCCCACCCCCGACAGGGCGGGCGGATACAAGTGAGCGCCCCCCCCGACAGGGCGGGCAGATACAAGTGAGCGCCCCCCCCCGCACCACGGGAGCTCGCCCCCCCCCCGACAGGGCGGGTGGAGTGGCCGGCCCCCCCCCGCGCCACAGGAGCTCGCCCCCCCCCCGACAGGGCGGGTGGAGTGGCCGGCCCCCCCCCGCGCCACGGGAGCTCGCCCCCCCCCACCCCCGACAGGGCGGGCGGGTACAAGTGAGCGCCCCCACCTGCGTCACGAGAGCTTGCCCCCCCCTGACAGGGCGGGCGGAGTGGGCGGCCCCCAGTGGGCAGAGTGGGCGGGCCCTGGACAGGTGGTGTGGGTGGCCCTGGGCTGACACTGCCGCCCGCCTGCAGCCTGAGCCAGGTGAGGGTCACCGACTGCCGGGCCTTCACCGGCCACGCCGCCCAGGGGCACACGGAGCTGCTGGCCAACCTGCCCGACCAGAGGGCCGCCCTGCAGCACATGGCCTTGGCCTGCCTGGTAGGTGCTCGGCAGGACTGGACGGGCAGCAGGCCCTGGCCTCCCGCCGGCACTGACCCGTTGTCCCCGCAGGGGGGGCCGCCCCCGCGGCTCAGCGCCGCGGACCTGGAGCTCCTCGGAGCCCTCGTGTGCGACATGGACGCAGCCAGCATCCTGGCCGCAGACCCCCGCGTGCTGCAGAACCTGCGACGCTGCCCCCAGCTGACCACGGCCCAGGGGGCCGCCCTCAACGGCCTGCTGGCCAGCGGGAGGACCTACCTTGGGTGGGTGGGGTCGCTGGTGGCCACAGCCCCCCGCCCTCAGCCTCACTCTGCCCCTGCAGCAGTGGGGCACGGGGATGGGGGTGGTGGCTGGGCACCCCAGCACGGGTGCCAGTGGCCGGTGCTGCTCCCGCGACCCCTCGGGGGGGCCTGCGATGCTGCCCTGGACCCCGACACAGCCCCGATTCCTCGTCCCAGGCCCCCTGAAACCTGGAACCTAGAGGGGCTGCGGGCACTGGGACCCCTGGCCTTGCACATCAGCCCCTGCCTGTGGGCGCAGGTGCCAAAGGTAGGCGGGGCCGGGCTGGGGCATGGCGGCTGGCCCCCCCAGCCTGCCCAGGCCCAGGGGCTCGGGGAGGGGAGGGGCGGTGGTGCGGTGCCACCACGCCCGCCCGCCAGGCCGTGGGCCTGGGCTTCTTCCGCAGCGTGGTGGCCGCGAGCCGGGCGGGGCGGCTCAGCCAGCGAGAGGCCAGGCGCTTCGCCACCAGCTTCCTGCAGTCCAGGGCCACCTCCGGGCTCGCGAGGCCCAGGCGCGGCACAGGTCAGTGAGGCGTCACGGCCTCGGGGGCGCCGGGCAGGGTCTGGGTCGGGAGTGGCAGCGGGGTCAGCGCCGCCCGGCCTCACCGCCGCGCCCGCCCACACAGGCCGGCCCTGCGTGCCCGGCAACCTCACGGCCGCGGCGCTGAGGGACGACCTCCTGCTGGTGCGCTACAACTGCGCCCAGCTCCAGTCCTGCCTGGACGGCCAGGTGCTCAGGGCCGGCCTGGACGCCCTGCTGCAGCAGCCCCTGCCCGCCGAGTGCCAGCACGTCGTCAAGGCCAAGCTCGCCCAGGTGCGGGGGGGGGGCTGCGCGGTGGGGGCTGGGGGGGCGGGGGCAGGGGGTGCAGCCGCTAAGGCCCTGCCCCTGCAAATCTACCCCAGGGCTGTGCGGGGGGGAGGCCGGGGTGTGGCCCCCCAGATCTACCCCGGGACTCAGCAGTGGGGGCCGGGGTCTGGAGGCTGGGGTGCAGCCACTGAGACCCCGCCCCCGCAGATCTGCCCCAGGGCTGTGCGGTGGGGGCTGGGGGGGCATGGAGGTCGGGGTGCAGTCGCTAAGGCCCCGCCCCCGCAGGTCTACCCCAGGGCTGCGCGGTGGGGGCTGGGGCATGGAGGCCCGGGTGCAGCTGCTGAGACCCCGTCCCCGCAGATCTACCCCAGGGCTGTGCGGTGGGGGCTGGGGGGGCATGGAGGTTGGGGTGCAGCCGCTAAGGCCCCACCCCCACAGGTCTACCCCAGGGCTGCGCGGTGGGTGCTGGGGGGGCAGGGAGGCGAGGTTGCAGCCGCTGTCCCCCCCCCCCGCAGATCTACCCCGGGACTCAGCAGTGGGGGCTGGGGGGGCATGGAGGCCCGGGTGCAGCCGCTAAGGCCCCGCCCCCGCAGGTCTACCCCAGGGCTGCGCGGTGGGCGCTGGGGGGGCGGGGCGTGGAGGCGGGGTTGCAGCCGCTGCCCCCCCCCCGCAGATCTACCCCGGGGGCGTGCCCGAGGACCAGCTGCCCCGCATCACCTCGCTGGTCTACCTCTACTCCCTCGCCGAGATCAGCCAGTGGAACATCACGTCCAGAGACACCGTCCAGACCCTGCTGGCCCCTGACGTGGCCCTGGAGAACCAGACAGAGGTGAGGGCGCAGGGGCCAGGCCCCCGGTGGCTGGGGTCTGCCCGCCCCCAGGCCCTGCTGAGCCGGCCCCGCCCCCAGGCCGTCCTGCAGAAGTTCCTGGACCACAATGGCACGGTCACGGGCGCCCTGCTTGTGGCCATCGGGGGCTGCCGCCTGTGCAGGATGAGTGCCCGGCAGATCCAGGCCATCGGGCCCGCAGAGTTCCGGTGAGCCCACCCCCGCGGCCGCTGTCCGGCCACGAGACCGCGTGGGACGGCGGGCTCGGGAGGGGTCCGGCCCAGGCTCTGGGCCCCGATCAGGGCGGTGCACCCCCCCGGGCCTCCGGAGGCCGGGGTCCTGGCCGGGCCCCCCACAGAGCCCCCACAGGACAGCACCACCCCAGCCTGGAAACCCGTCTCCCCCCCACCCCGTTCTCATGAGGACGCCACGAGGCCCACCACGGAGGGGAGGAGACAGGCGCGCCCACCTGTTCACCCTGACCCCAAGGCTGGCCGGGGCGCTGGACGTCTCCTGCTGCGCGCAGAACCAGAAAAACGCGCTCTTTGCCAAGGCGCGCGAGGCCTTCGGCAGCACCAGGACGGCCGCGGCCTACTACCACTTCATCCGCCCCTACCTGGGTGAGAGCCGCCCCTGCGCCCCGCAGCGCGCCCCGGCCCCCTGACCCCTGACCCCTGACCGCCGCCCCCGCAGGCGGCGCCCCCGTGGAGGAGCTGCAGCGCCTGGCGCAGGCCAACGTCTCCATGGACATCGACACCTTCGCCAGCCTGAACCCCAGCGTGCTGCAGGTGGGCGCGCGGCCGGCGGGGGGCGGCCGAGCCGGGTCCGGCCCGCGGGCGCTGACCCCCGGTCTCCCCAGAGCCTCAGCGTCAGCAGCGTCGCCACCCTGCTGGGCCAGAACCTGGGCGACCTGCAGAAGGCCCGCAGCCACCCGGCCATCCGCAGCTGGCTGCGCGGCCTCAACACGTCGGCGCTGAGCCAGCTGGGCCTCCACGCCGACCCCACCGGCCCCGCGGCCCCCGCGGCCCCGACGCAGGGGCGCCCCCACACCAGCGCCCTGGCGCCACGGCCGGCGCACTTCTCGGGCCGGCCGGACAGCGCCGCAGCGCCTGCCTCGGGTACGTGCCTGGCCGCGCCCGCGGACCCTCATCCTCGCACCTCTAGGGGCCGCGCGCGCGCCTCCGCAGCCTGAAGCCCCCAGACCAGCGGCAGCGCTGGCCGGAGCCCCCAAGGCGCTCCCCACCAGCCCAGAGGGAGGCGCTGTGGGACCCGGGCTTCCTGCGTGGGCGGGGCTCGCCGGGAGCCGGCTTCCGGGGCGGGGCCTAAGGTGTGGGAGGGACTTCGAGGGGCGGGGCCTGCTTCTGGGGCGGGGCCGAAGGTGTGGGAGGAACTTCGAGGGGCGGGGCCGAAGGTGTGGGAGGGACTTTGAGGGGCGGGGCCTGCTTCTGGGGTGGGACCGAAGGTGTGGGAGGAACTTCGAGGGGCGGGGCCGAAGGTGTGGGAGGGACTTTGAGGGGCGGTGCCTGCTTCTGGGGCGGGGCCGAAGGTGTGGGAGGGACTTCGAGGGGCGGTGCCTGCTTCTGGGGCGGGGCCGAAGGTGTGAGAGGAACTTCGAGGGGCGGGGCCTGTTTCTGGGGCGGGGCCGAAGGTGTGGGAGGAACTTCGAGGGGCGGGGCCGAAGGTGTGGGAGGGACTTCGAGGGGCGGTGCCTGCTTCTGGGGCGGGGCCGAAGGTGTGGGAGGGACTTCGAGGGGCGGGGCCTGCTTCTGGTGCTGGTGGGTCTTCCAGGGGGCGGGCCTATTTCCAGGGTGGGCTATGGTGTGGGCGGGGCTTTCTGGGGCAAGACTGTGAGGGAGCGGCTTTTCACGGGGCGGGGCCTGCTGCAGGGGTGGGGCTGAGTGTGGGCGGGGCTTCCAGAGGGCGGGGCTGGGTGGGAGGAGCTCCTGGGGTGGGGCCTGCTTTTGGTGTTGGTGGGTCTTCCAGGAGGCGGGGCTTCCGGGATGGGAGGGGTTCCTGGGGCCGGCTGATGGCAGCGCGTGTCCCCCGCAGGCAGCCCGCCCGCCCGGCCATGCCCGCTGCTCGCCGCTGCGCTGCCCTGCGGCCTCCTGTGGCTGCTGCTCTCGGCCCCTCCCAGCGAGGGGGCTGGCTCGCGGGGCCGGGCGCCCAGGCCTCACACGCAAGGACGGCGGGGCCTCTGGCTGCGCTGGGTGCCCCGCACCCCCATCTCCCGGGGGCCCCGGGGGCCTGAGCCCATGCAGCCAGGAGGCGGGGGAGGGCGTGCGGTGGGCTAGGGGCGGGGGGCGCCTTGTGGCTGGCTTCTCCGTGCAGCTGAATAAAACCAAGGCTGTCATCCCGTCTCCTCTCTGCGCCGAGCGCCCCCGCCCCCACCCCCACCCGTGTCCCCTGTGGCCACGCGCGCCCCGGTCCTGCGTGTCACCGGACGCCGGGAGCTGCCAGTGCGGGGTCGTGCCTGACTTTATTTAGCTCCAGTCCCGCGGGCTCGGGCAGGGACGGTGGGCGTGCACGGGGGGGGGGGGGCAGCTGGACAGTGGCCTCAGCGCGGGGTCAGAGCCAGCAGCAGAGCCAGCATGGTGGCCAGCAGGCATCCGGGTCCGAGGCGTGCAGGAGCCCTCGCGTGGGCCTCTGCGAAGAGAGCAGGGCGGCTCAGCCCGCCGCCCCCCAGCCCTGCCACCCCCGCCCCGCAGCCCTGCCACCCCCGCCCCGCAGCCCCCGCCGCCCCGCCCGCCCACCTTCGAAGCTGAGGTCCAGGACCAGGTAGCCGTCGGGGACGCCGCCCAGCAGCCCCAGCTGCAGCGTGTCCAGCTCGGCCTGCGGCTGCCGGAACACCCAGTCCCGCACCGGGCTATCCTCCTCCGCGCCCTTCAGGTCCACCACGTGTGCGCCCAGAAGGCCTCGCACCTCGGCCACAGTCAGCGGCTGCAGGGCCCAGGCAGCCGTCAGCCCCCGCAGTCCCCGCCACCTCCCGCCCCCCGCCCCGCCCCCATACCGCCACGACCTCCGCCCCCATACCGCCACGACCTCCGCCCCCATACCGCCACGACCTCCGCCCGCAGCCGCCGGAAGGCAGCCACGTCCAGGCTCACGTTCTCCCGACTGAGCGCCCGCAGGTCGTCCGTGGAGGCCCCGCCTGGCGGGAGAGGCGCCTCACAGCACACGCCCCCCGGCGCACAGGGACCCCTCCCCGGGAACGCCCACCGTGGCGCAGGGACACCTCCCCGGGAACGCCCC